AAATATTTGTATGCGAGTGCAAGAAGGCACTCGCAACAAATCTGCCCTCCAAAACATCTGAACGGATTTCTTCCCTCTGTCGTCTTCCATTGTCGACTTGGGCTGGAGGCCTTGGGTGATGTCATCATCGCGAGACACTTCTTCTAGAGCAAGTGAGGACTTTATATGGCTTAACAGACCAAAAAGCTGAATCCCCCCCCGAATTTAAACAGTAATGAATGCAAATAGACTACCGACAGCTTCAGAAAGAATAACCAAACAATGACACGAAAAATACTACACACCACATTTTATATACTCTGCTTCACAACAATCAGTGCCCTCTTCTGCCCCCAGACACCCTGCGGCACACACCGCTGTGCACACTAATACAGTCGTGAATTATTAAATCCCCTGCCCCCTGCACCAGAACACAAGTCCTGACCTACAACAGCGCACAACCTTCACAGCAGAGGACAGTGAGGCATTGCAAGAGATATGCTTCACGCCACCATTTCTCCACCCCATTAAAGCCTTTCAAATGCAGCTCCATTTAAGCAGCACGCAAGTCCAGATGCCGTATGATGCACGAAAAGTTAATAAGAGCCGCAGGCTGGCTTTCAGCAGACAGCACTGTGTGAGGAGGATGCACTGGACGAGTGCCTGCTGCATTGCTGTGCATGCACATATTGCATATATTGCATGGGGGGGGGACAAAAGTATCCAATCTAGACACCGCGCAACTACAAAAACATGAAAGCCTCCCCTGCAGCTCTGTTATCTCATTGCACTGAACTTTTTATACACTCTACAATCAGAAACGGGGTTAAAAATAGCACATATCCTTCACGGTCCTCCCAGTAATGCAACCATAATTTGCCTCTATTTCTGGTGTTAAACCCATTACTGAAGATTCCATGTTCAAATTCCTGGTGTCCCATGCTTTTGCGTTTATTTTTTTTTCTTGCCCCTTTAAACTTGCTCTAGGCTGATATCCTCTCCCAATTAGAACCACTAATACTGCACTAATTAGGAGATAAGGTGAACAGCTTTCACACACATCACTGCTGCGGCATGTTTCTCTACGGCTGTCTCTCAATACAAGTTTAAAAGTGATGCTGGTCCCCAGCCCTGTGAGGTCTTTAATTCACATTTCAGCCTTGCAATTTAATGATTCATTTATTTTTGAGAGATGGTGATTGAGTCACCCGAAAATATTCTTTTTAACAGAACTGTGATGTTTGTACAGTAATCTCAACTATCATATTTTATTAAAGTTTGATTTAAAAAATCCCATTCGTGGAGGGCAATGAAAACAATGTGGTGCAATAGGATCTAGTGAAGAGAAAATTACCTTTTAACTACGCTGTTAAATGGAAACAGAAGTCATCATAAAATAAACACCTAAAACACCTAATACTTGCTCCTTATTTTTGTTTTTCAGTTATTAAATGACTGCATTCTGCATTTATCAAGGGCAAAAAAAAATGTTATCTATTAGAATAATACTGTCTGATTATGTCAATAAGTTTCTCATCACTATATGGAATGTTTTTAACTTCCCATGGTTAGCTCATTAATTTTGACTTTATTCTGTGTTTTAACCACAAAAGCATGCAGCCAAAATTGCAAAACTTCCCTTTATTTTTTTAATCAAGAAGCTTACCCCTCCAGAAGCTCAGGACAGCTTAAAATGTATTAAAATAAATGAAAATGCACACCAAGGCACATATGTAGTTCTCCCTACCAGCCCTGCAGCTTCTCAAAGAACAGTTTTTCTACACATACAGTAGAGACAAGGAGCAATGGCACAATCCCTAGCTCCTGATTGGCCAATGGACGAGCAATGGGTTGCTCACTGCTGACCTCTGCTTTATCAAAATGACCTTGTGCTGCTCTTCAGAACAGCTCCTTCAGTTCCCGGCAAGAGGGAATCTGCTGTCCTCTTCAAAGAGCTGACCTGCCACCACCAACTCTACAGAATAAGAAGAGCCACAATGTTTGGCAAAGCACACATGTACCATCCAGGATTCCCAGCTGCATTTAAACCCTACTATCCCTTTGCCGAGCTGAAAGTGCCACGCTCCATGCAATGAAACCCAGATCCTTCTGCAATGAATGCACAGGGCGATCTTGCTTAATTTTTTTTCCATTGAGAATTTAAACCACAGAGACCCGACAGCTTTGAAATAGCATCACAATACTCCTAAGGTGAGGAAAAATAACATAAAAATGGCAACACCCGATTTTTCAATGTGAAATATGTGAGACCTCCAGGCAAACAGCTGACTTTTTTCGTGTTAAAATGCATATCCCACATTTTGGGATATGATGGTTGCATTTATAACCTGGTGTTAAACACATTATGCTAGTTTTAAATATGGGCACGCCTGCATTTCTTCACTGCTGACTACATTCTAAGCGTATTGATAGAGGGCAGATGTTCAGTATTGCATCAGAAAAGCACTATATCTTAAAAGAAAAACATCTTTCCTGAATTACTGAATCATATTTACCTGGTTCACACAGATCTTCGACAATGCACAGTAAGCGGAAATAATGGCTTGCCCATAAACAGCTCACAATGGAATAACAACAAAACCCACAACTCCATTCAGAATAAATATCTGAAACATGGCGCTAATTCACATCTATTAAGCCTCAATGTCAGTGTCTGCAGCGACGGCAAATAATGTCCCAATCTGTAGTGATCTGGACTTAAGATTCCTTCAGATCTCTGAACATAAGTAAAGCCCCCTTGATCAAGCAAGCAGCTTGCACACTTCAAATGATTAAAAAGCGCTATAGACATTGAATATCTGGATCAGAAAAAGACATTCTCCTCCCTGGACTTTCTACCTAGACTATCTGGCATTACATTTTGTGACAGACAAAAGGAAATAAACGTCCTAGCTGTTCTCTTTTAATGAGAAAGATACATTGCAATTTTTCGATTGAATTTTACTGGGCTGTTTTCTGCATAGACTCTGAATCTGGACAAAACAGATGCCCTACTGATTTCCATTTCTATTAATTTTTTACTATTAATTTTTTAGATAACATACAGAGGCTGTTTTATTTTTAGAGACTATATTGTAGCTGATTACTCAGTTAAATTTTGTATTTGCTCAGTGATGGCCAGTCAGATAATATCAACATTTCACATAACATTCCACAAACCTGGTAGAAACAGCCCAGGTGTTTAAAGCAGCAGCTGAGGTAGCGCATGACTGCATCTACATATTTCCACCTTAAACACATATCTGCAGCGTACACCCTTGGTGTCTGGTGGCAACATGGTATTCTTACTCTTGTAGGTGCTCTAAACTCCTTTCAGGCAATTCTTATTTTAGTTCATAAAGCAGAGCAATACAGTAATGCAAATTCTAGCAAAGAGAATGGCCTTTGCTCCTTCATGTACGTTCAGCCTCATTAGAATCTACCTGACTCATCTTTCATTTTGCAAGCCCGTGTGCTCTGCAACGCATGCCTATAATATCCCCTGAAAGGGGCTGTCACCTACAAACCCAGTTTATCAACTGCTGTACTTCAGTGGCAAAACATAGGGACTGCCCTCCTCCATTTCTGTTTTTCTGTCCATTCAACACCTTAACAACTGTGAATATTGAGAATGGGGACTTGACTGTCACAGAGTAAAAAAAAAAAAAAGTTACTGAATGATCAAAAACGATTACAACTTTTCTTCACGTAACCTGTCTGACTGTTGTACACACAAGCGTGTGAAGCTAGTCCATCGTGCCGTGTTGTAGACACGTTTCTGCTCATTCTGAGCGATCCCAGATATGGAAATGTTTTGGACAGGTTTGTCCCTATTCTTTGACCTCTGTCCTAAAAAAAGAATATTGCCTGCTCTCATCTTATCTTGGCCTCTCACAGCCACAGAAATAGATTTAACTGGCTGGTTGAGCTGCATCTAAATAGTTACTGGCACTGAGGTGGGAGCCCCCAGTATTTGATCCTGTCCCATCTTGATATTTACAAGACGAAGAGCGATACGCTGTTCAGATTCATGTTCCAGTGGGGGGCAGGGGAGTCTTGGGGGTACTGCGGCCGACGCCTGCAAATTCAGTTCGATTCCGGCTGCCCAGTTTTTGAACAGAACTTCTCCACAAACAGCCGGCGTTTGTTCAGAGATCTGTTGGAAACTTCAAAGCTAAAATATCAATCATTTTTAATTCTAGAGAACCCTTCCCACATATTTCAGAAGAAATGCAAACCGAGAAAGTGATTTTCTGGAACAGTGCTTCGCAAACAAAAAGTAGAACTTGTTAGGCCAAGGTTTCAGAGAAGATTTGAAGAATAAATCCCACTACTCGACACTCAACCACTATTGCCTTTAAAATCTGGATTCATAAAACCTTACCAGCTTTCCAGCTTCATTGCACTGTGCACAAACACCTTGCACCCACTGGTTTAAGGACCCTATCGACACATCATTAGGCCAGGATTTGCACCCAAATACCTCCTAGTAGAGTATCACCCTCCACAGAAAGCATTTCTCCGTTTTTATTCATGAAGCACCAACCCTTGTCAACTATCCTAGAATTGCCCATTACATTTCAATCAGAAGAGAAACAACAGCCTGTGAGCCAGATATTTTTCACAAGTATAAAATAAAACTGTTTTCAAAATTAAAAAGGCCAACAGTACACCCTGAAGGCATTAATACTGTGCTTATAAATTTAAGTAAAATAAGAACACACCAGAACACAATTAAACTGGGTATTTGTTTCAGCACCTTACAGCTTCGAAGCTTTGTTTTGTTGTTATAATACAAATGTATACAAACACATGCAATCAAGAATTAAACTACTGTCCACGTTCTCAGCATGTATCACTGGCCTTGCTCTATCAGTTTATGCTTTTATTATGATTTATATGATAACACGCAATGGTGAACACATCTTTTTCCTAATAAAGTAAAAGGAAACTTTGGTCTTCATCCCTGCACTATGTAAGTGCCATGTTTTGTCAACGTGAAACAAAGATACAACACTTACTTCTGAACTTTGGGGTATTTCATGTCTGCAATGATGTTTGTAGCCTCTGTTTGTCTCTCTTTTAAGTGCTGAGGCCACATGTTGTCCACCCAGTCAACGAGATCTACCTGAAAGAGGAATGTAGAAAAACTTGCCAGATTATTCCTGAACCAGACACGACACCAGGGGTGCCCCAGTCCTGGTCCCAGAGGAACAGCATATCTGCTGTTACCGTTTTCATTTGTGTTAACGGTGTGTCGCGTTTACTATTCCAGTAAAGCACTTTGAAAAGATACTTAAAGTCTCTTTAAAATCTCAGCACTGGAAGAGCTGGGAGAGACTGGTATAATTAAGCCAAAACTGAGCTGATTCAAGCTATTAAGAGCCCAGCTGGACTTTAAACATATAAACACACTGGCCTTCCAGAACCAGGACTGGAGACTTCTGATCTGCACTGAAGGCAGAATCGGATCGAAGCTTCACAGATAACTTCAGTGAAGTTGACCTCACGTGGCTTTTTGTTTTGCAGAGACTTATTTTGCATTTGGCTCCAATTCCAAGTGTCAGCAAGGGCATTTTGAATGTACAGCGGAAGTGGCAAGCACATTTTTTAAAAAATGAAACGAAAGGCTTTTGCTGAACAGAAAGCCAATGTCACTAATTCTTCAATGAACTGCCAGGTGGATGGAGGTGAGAGGATCTCAAGAACAAGAATGTCTTGTTTGATTTCTCCATAAAAAGAGGTATACTGCCCCTGCAGTTGATTCCCATGACCCTACAAGCATGGTGACTCACCACGATGGGGCGCTTGATGAGGTTCTCCAGTTTGGTATGGCTGAATTCCAGGCTGATAACATTGAAGAGCTTGTCCCTCTCAGCTTCGGGGGTCTCGTAGTAACGAACAAACTGGGCCATGCTCATCTCAGTCCCTTTCTGCGTGCTCACGTCCATCACATCCACAGCTCTGCGGCTTCCTGCAGCGCCGGAAACGGAAAAGCTTCAGAGCCCGTGCTGCTCCTGGAGACAGACGCACGCCGACACGAAGACGGCGCTGCCTTGCACTCACGGAGACTTCACTTCCAGTCTGCCCCTGCGCTCCTTCTCACGAAAACATCGCCAAAAGCCAACAAATGAACACTTCCTCACTCAGAACAGCCCTGAATTTCAAGTTGCCCCTAATGCAATCGAACAAATTCAGAAATCACACCACCTAAGGCTCTTAAAAGATGGAGGCCTATTTTTTTAAAATGCCTGATTTTTCAGAAAAGAAATACAGTAAGCATTCTGGCTTAATAAAATTAAAGATCAAGATGTGAAGCTTGGAACCTTTTTCATGAGCACAACAATAAAACGCAAGAGCAAGTACAGTGCAGCAGGGAGCAACTTGCTGCAGGCTAGCGCTGCCAACTGGCTTCCAGCGACAAACCACAAGGGGGCAATACAAGCACAAAGCAACCCTCCACCGTTCCTGCAGGTTCAAAACAAACGTTTTCTGTTTATGTGTAATTCTGTTGTGGGTAACCCAAGAATCTGCACTTGCGACAAGTCTTCTACGGTACTGTTGATTTGTGTACAAAATACAGCTCCGAAGTAAAAAAAAGTGAAACGCTACAGCCAGAAAAAAGCCAGACTTTTGTGCAACCACGGTTGCTATGTAGATTATTAGTACGCCTGAACTTAGTTTAAAAATGAGCATGTAATAGTTAGATAAAACCTTACAACTGAACAGACTCCCTATATAAGGATCCTAAGGGGACATTCTTTAACTTTTCCTCACAGGGTGTCAGACTGCAGGCCGTGTGCCATTCAGCTAAGTAAACTCACAGAGGACTGCAGGTTTACCCGTTATCAGACCTCGGACGAACGGGCACTGTACACACAGCAAAAAAGCTCTCGAGAACAAAAACAAATATGAAGAGAAAGGGAGCTGCCGTGTAAGCCGAGACGAGCACCTGTCAAGCCGGGCAGTAACAGCGCTTATTTTCTACTCTGTAATCTCGGGCCCATTTCCTGTCCTGCTGTCCGGTTCTAACATCTCCCAGCTGTTCCTCTCCAGTTACCGACATCACAGGCTGGCTTAAGTATCCCCGTCGGCCTTCAGTGATAAATGAATATGCCAACCTCCATGTTCTGTAGTGTAAATGCTGGCTGGCGACTCGCAGGCCTGCCTGGCACTAGTTATTAATGCAGATGGAGGCTGTGAATGACTCCATGCAAACAATGTGAGGTTGTGCAAGAACTGCCTGTAATACTACCTTCCAAAAACAAAAATTAATTGCTGAACACAGACAACTTTTTCTTATGTCCAGCTGTGTGGCAGGTTACATCCAATATGCATAAGTTAAACTCCTGCTTACAGCACGAGATTGTGATCTATGCAACCTGTATAAGAGAGCAAACATACACTTCCTGATCACACATCACACTCATGAGTGCTATTCTGCAGTCCCGTTCTTCATATTCAAACCACACACCCACCATTAGAAAAGAAACCAAATTATTATCCGGGTGCTTTGCCAGCTCAATATGTTCCAGTTTCCACAGGAAGTTCCTGATAGGAGCGTGCAATTCTGTGTTTGTGAGCGGCTCTCAGCAGCTCTCAGCCCTTGGCATGACAAGAGCGCTCAGGGAATAGGGTTTCACTGCGAAGACCGCTTGTGGGACAGCTGTCATGCACACTCCCAGTCAGTCTGCTCAGGCCAACACTGCAGACAGCCAAAACAAGCAACTTTCGAAAACTCCAGGCCTGCCTTCTCAGACAACTCAGGGAAGTCAGGGCTCCTTTCAAAAGGAATAAAAAAAATACTCAGCACAAAACAAGCCACAGGGCTCTTCAGAAAAATCTAAAGAGCAAGGGTGTGAATGATGAGCAATTTTTAATTGCTTTACGAAGCCTCCTCGCCCATTATCACTATGGTTTGATTCACAGAAACAAGTCAAAAAGAACATTTCAGAGGGGGTGCACTGGTCTGTTGCCAGTACAAGGCAAATGAGGTTATTAAACTCATTTTTTCAAATGCTGTATTTATTTCAGAATGATCCTGAAGGAATGAAAGAGTAAAATGTGAATCTTTGTTCTGCTTTTAAAAAAAATTAGCTCCTCCACTTAACCTATTCCAACAACTGTCCAAGAGATTAGATACCCTTCTAACGTTTGACAAGTTCATGAGCCACTCACACCATGTCCACTTAGGCAAAAATCAAACCTGCTGCTGCAATAAATAAATAATCCTTACACTTATACAGCCCTTTTCTGGACACTCCACTCAAAGCGCTTTACAGGTAATGGGGAATCCCACTACCACCACCAATGTGTAGCAGTAGACATTGTAGGCAGCCAGAGTGCATCAGTACGCTCACCTCACATCAGCTATGAGTGGGGAGGAGAACAGAGTGAAAAACCCAATTCATAGATGGGGATTATTACGAAGCCATGATTGGTAAAGGCCAGGTGGAAATTTGGTCTGGAAGCCAGGCTTAACACCCCTACTCTTTTCAAAAAATGCCCTTAGGTTTTTAATGACCACAGAGAGTCAGGACCTCTGTTTTACATCTCATCCAAAGGATGGCACATTTTTTACAGTATGGTGTCCCCTTCACTATACTGGGGTACTAGGACCCACACAGACTGCAGGGAGAGCGCACCCCTATTGGTCCCACTAACGCCTCTTCCAGCAGGAGGCTTAGCTTTCCCAGGAGGTCTCCCATCCAGGTACTAGCCAGGCTCACAACTGCTTAGTTTTTTGTGGGCTGCCAGCTGTGAGTTATAGGGTGATACAGCTGCTGGCTGTGAGGGTCTGAAACAGTCCTTACTGTAGTTCCTCTCTTATTTTTACTTCTTAGCAGCGAACTCTTCCACTGCAGGAGTTACTGTGGGAGTACCAGTGTCAGTGTGCTGCTGAGAGCTCCTCCTCTGTAGAGAATTAAAGTGGCTGTACAGCACTGAGGATCTCCAGGCTTCTTCAGTTCCCTTAAACTAGAACTTATACCGTCAATCCTCTTGGGAAGTTCATATTTCCTTGCGATAACAAGGCACACAACAGACCGTGTGGTGATTAATGCCAAATGCCCCTCTTTTTTCCCATCAATAAGAAAGCAACACAATGAAGATCATCTCCTCTAGTAAACCATTCAGGCTGCTAATGCAGTAATCCAATATTTTTTAATGTGCTTTTGGGTTTTTAACATTGCAAGTTGCTTTTTTTAAAGAAATTCTCTTTTATTTAAAAGTCATATGACAAAACCAGATGTGGTACTGCCATACCAGAAGCCAGCTCCTTAGAGTAGCAGCCCCGTCACCTGGACTAGACAGCTCTGGGAATCCAGGAGGAGCCTCTCGCCGGTCACATGACCTTCCGAGAACCACAGGAAGATCTCCCTTTCTGTTCTGTTCCCTTTTCAACCGGAAAGCAACAAATCTTTCTACCACTTTGCAAAAAGTAAGTTCTGCTGAAACATTTCCTTCCTAAAGTCACTTTCAGAATGCAAGGGGAAAGCATGAAAATAGTGATGCTCCAAAACAATAGCTATGAGGAAAGTAAATTGTTTTCAGCTTCACAGTCACATACTCTCATCTAATCAGCTTTAGAAGAACGTGAAAGTTTTGCTGCTTTCCTCCAATTAATTACTATAACTAAGTATTTCCTTGCTTGAAGAGCATTAGAATGCACAGGGAGCACAGAAAGTTACTATACAATGCATGCAATTGAAGTGCAGAATGTACAGTTCTATTTAAAGGTGGAAACAAATTTAAGGTGTGTGTAAAATGTATAAGGAATATAAACTCAGGACATGCCACAGCTAAATCACACAATGATCTCAGGAGTTAAAATCTAGGTAATAATGTGTGTACATATATAGATGAATATCCATGCAAGAAATAATTTGACAAAGTTTACCCAAAAGTAACACCTGACAAACTGACAATGAAAGAACATCCTTGAACATCCTGGAAATGAAACCAAACTTTTTTCAGAAGCCACATGACTTCATCTTGTAAATCACAGTGGAGATCAGATTTGCGTTTAGCTGTGTTTTTTCCCCCTCCCTGGGCAGCCTTTCACTTGAGTGGGGTTTGAAACCGCAAATGAAAAGAGCTGATAGCAAAAGCTCACAAGTACGGGAATGTAAACACGTAGGCGTCTCTCTTCGTGGAAGGCTCTTATTTTTAAACAAACAGCTGTTGTAAAAAAAAGAAAGGCTGTTGACCCAAAATGAACTTAACATTGATTCCTAAAACATGGCAACTACAAGAATGTCTTTTGCCACGACAGCAGAGGTAGCATGGCAATGCTCTGTCTCATCCTCATATGATTTCAAACACCTGGAAGATATCCCAGTTCACTGGAACAGTACTGTTGATAGTTAACATTAAAAGTAGTGCATTGTCCATACTACTGGAAGGAATGTTTTGCCAAAAGCCCCAATCCAGCTAGAAATGGATGAGGGACATTAAATAGTTGCCACACTAAAGATGTGTCACCCAAAGCATAGAACAAGACAGGACAAATGTGTAAAAAATAAAGAACCCAGACATGCGTTTGCAACCTCCATTAATTTAGACAGCAGCATCTTTATCAATCACCATGCCCTGGAAGCTCGTTCTAGTCATCCTGTGCTACGGCAGGAAACTGGGGGTTTATCTGCACTTCTCAAAGTCAGCTGTAATTTCCACTTGCTGCTGCTGCGCCGCCCACGACCAGCGCTGACGACAAACTTCCCGATCTACACACCCCACCTGCAAGAGGTTCAGGCTCGGTGTTGCTTTCCATTCATACAAAAGGCCGCCTGGCTCTCAACTCAGATCGGAAGTTGACTGTGCTAGCACAAACTTTAACACTTTCGCTTCTAGGCTATCAACCTGCGATGTAAAACATTCAAGAACTGCTTAAAAAAAAAAACGACAAACTGTATGAATGCAGACACCTGCACAGAGCAGACGCAAAAGCTGCAATTTTAACCCCATCTGAAAATTGAATGCAAAAGCTAGAGCACTTTTAGTTATACCAACAGACCCCCTGAACAATAACCCTTGACGTCCTACCAATGCAACTGCCCTAGCTAAGATCCTGGAAGACTTGATTGGTGTAAAGATGCTGCAAATCTACTGACTCCATGTGGATGCACAGTAGATTCTTCAGACTGCTTAAAGCACAGCCCGCCTATTATAGCTGTCCAGTCCCTCAGAGAAGAACAGTAGATTTGAACCCAACACAGCATGAGGAGAGTTCTGCAGCTCTGAATTCATCTCTTTCCCCATCCTCCAAGGAATCCTTGAAGAACCTGCTAGCGACAGTTTAATTACTGCTAAACCACCAATGCATAACTGTATAGCTCACCCACAGAGCTTTTAAGATTAGTGAGGTCAAAAAAAAAAATACAGCCAGACACACAGCAGATATGTTACATTACCAGTCCTTTTTTATAACATGCTTTGGTATTTCTAAATAACGGTGGGTTCATCCCCTCAAAGGAAAACTAATCTGGAGTGTAAACAAAACCTGCAGCAACCGTCATTCATCCCTCAGTTTTTCATTTGTTCTTAGATGAAGGAGCTGGACCCTTTCCTATCAGATGTAGCTTCACCAAAGCGAATCGTCATCGGGATTAATAGTATATTATCTCATCAATCTGCCTGTTCTGTAACACAGTATGTTAAGGCATTCAAATAACACTGTCTCGTGCATTAATGATTACAGTAATAAGACTTTACAAAGTAAATAATACGTAGTGTTCTAAATTCAACAAAAATACGACAGTAACTGCTTCGCAGAATCAGAAATATCCGAGCGCTCTTTTCATTACAGGGATATGTTGGATGACTTTTTACGATTTAAATGTAGACAGCAGAATTCCAGTTCAGCATGATGATACAACATGACTCATCTCAATTTGACTATACCCTCACAAATTGATTCATGCTGTCTTCAGCTGCTCCGGTATAAGCTTGCTGTGGACCCACGGAAGAATGCCTTCAGCTTTGTACCCGCAAAATGGCTTAACTCTCAGAGGGAGACTGGACTAGTCGGGATTCGCTTCATAGCAAAAAACGCTACACCAACACAACGCCTTAGGCGTCTTTTACACCAGCTTTGCACAAGTTAAAAAGTAAAATGGATCAAAACAAAGTTATATTTCTGTAATATTAATACGCCGACTTAAAACGAATCTGGTATAATCCCGCTATGATTGTTTCAAACCGGTTTGCTCTTATTTTAAATACAGAGGAGCTTGCACAACATCCCAAAATCGCTATTCACAGGGGGGCTAAAACGGCACTGTTGACGATTTAAAGCAAACATGGAAGTCCTACTTACCTACCAAACCTTTAACCTCGCTTACGTTGAAGTCGGGATCTGGCATCCTTCCGAAATAAGGAAAAAAACACGATTAGGATATTTGCATTGCACCGAAGTGTGCTTCCCAATGATCAAAATTAGTTTTACTTTTTTTTTTACACTTGATGCATATCTAACACGTCCCGCTTTGGTCATTTCGATCAACTAAAAAACGAAACATACGACACGCATTCTACTAGGCTGTGTTAATTTAATTTTATTATGATTAATCGATATTTGTGGTTTCTTACAAATTGTATGAGATTTTAAATGAGTGCAGTGCATGAGCCGTAAATGTACCGTCTTCACTCACCTTATTCCCAGTCCATCTTTGGTTTTAAAAATTAGGGGGATCTTGAGCGCTTCTCTTTGCACATACTCGTAGGTAAAATCTGCGTGACAAAATTGCAAACGCAGCTAGACAACTTTTCCATATTTAACAGTATTCAAAATTTCATTACGCCTCATAGTGCGTATTCTGCTTATGATTAAATGTGGCCAGACCGTACCCAGGCAGGTGATACAATCGATTATCCTAGCATTAAAATTCAATATTATTTCTGCACACTCACATGCGGATAACGTAGATGCCTGTGTGGTTCTTGGCTATTTACACCGGGGTTTTTTTTTTATTCGTCACGTTTGGTGCCGTGCAATTTGAAGCTTAAAAAAAGATTAAGGCATAACTATGAGAGCAACATGGGTAGGCTTTGACTTCAAGCTCTTTGTGCACCTGACAGTACTTCCCTGCACAGCAAACCCAGGCGGGAAAATACAAACTTGAACACGGGTTTGAGTTGAGCCACTACTGCGTGACCTTCACTATGCACTCTGTAGCAGATGGCGCTTGGGTCGGAAGGCGTGGATATATATATTTTTTATGAATGGAACTCAGAGGCGAGGATATTTACCTTTCCCGTCCATCATCACCACGTAGTTAGTATTATATGAATCACTTTTAAGTTTCTCCTCCAAATTAAAACTTCGGATACTCGTAATTTCTTCCACATCCGACAGATCTTCATTTTCGTCGTACATTCTCCTACCGATGGAGCGCTGTGTTTGAAAATTACATTTAAAAAAAAAGTAAAATCGACTATGGCCATCCTCCCCACCCCCGACATTAACTTTAAATCAAGTACCCTTCGTTGGAGCTCATGTATGCATTATGCAACGATAAAAAACAATGCGAATATTTAACTAACTTTTGTAACACGATGCCCATTTGGTGCTGCTTTTATATATTTTTAAAAATTCCTGTTTTAATATTTAAACCATTCAGGTAAGACACTTTGCTTACCAATCACGTTATTAATTTGAAGCAACACGAGCTGCGCCCGTAAAAAAAAAATGCATCGAGATTTAAGATTGTTAAGATTTTTACAACACACCAGGAGCACGCATCACAGCGTTATTTAAATAAATGTAACTCCCTAGGCCCATCAAGCCTAAATAAAAAAAAATATATACAGCGTTTGCACGCTAGTTAAATGTTTCCAGTCATTATTTGCCTTGCAAGACAGGGCTTAGCCACACTGCTGTGCCACACGACTCTTACCACCATTTAAAACGGGGATACGTTCTTAACGCTAAAAACAAAAATAAGTCCAGCGTCAGATTCCTCACATTGCTGCGCCAATACATGTAATTCACCGAAACCTGTGAAATTAGATCTGCACGCATCGATATGCCGCAAAACAGTGTGAAGCAGTGTGAAACGTTAAAATGTTGTTTCTAATACCGAAAATGCTTCTAAATAGATTTCTTACACTTTCAGTCCCTTTTCCTAGGCTGGCTATAAAAGGATAGGGTAAAACTACACACCAGTCTGCGTCCAGATTCTGCGTGCGCCTCCATTTTTTTGGAGAATTCGCCAGTTTTACCACTTTAGCCCCGCATTGTGCCGAAAATGCTACATTTAAAGTTAGAAAACACTTTGCTTTCCGATTCCAAACTAAGTAGGCACCATTTTTGTATAGTATTGAGCTGACGTCACGGCCGAAAGAATCAAAACATTGCTAGAGAGCGTCATGCGTCATCTTTATTCACAACTTCAAGCCTACATCCCCGCGTTCTTCATAGTTTTCAACAGCATAAAAGCAATTGTATTTCGATGCGGTGCTGCTCCAATAAAACAATCCTAAAGTCACGTCTACCCTGATTCTTTTTTTTTCTTTCTGGGTCACGAGTCTGCAATAAGCATGCACGCAGGCGCTGCAGCTGTTGTGTGTGTTGTGTAAAGCGAGAGACGGTGCGTGCATGCAGCGTGCCTCTCCAGATGCATGACATTGTGCATGTACACAGAGAGAGAGAGACACGCACAGCAGCATCGCTTTTTTGTTGTTGCTAACGTGTCGGATAGCCCGGCCACTAGCTCTGCAGAGTTGGTTTCAGGTGTCCCTCCCCTTGTTAAAAATGGTTTAACCGAAGTCTAGACCCCCCCCGGCCGTCCTCGCGTGGACATTCCACGATGGGGGTTAGCGGTCTTTGTGCGTGTGCGTGTGCGTGGTTTTATTTTCGGGGACAAATGGCACGGGGAATGTCCGTAACATCTTCCGCACTATGCCGACGGCCCTGCTCCAGAACACGATAGACAATGCGATAATCATCGCAAAAGACTGTATTTAGTATGTACTGCATGTCGACTGAATGTGGTGTTTAAAGGCAAGTACTGATTCAGTGCTGTGCTATTGTACAACTGATATTGCATAATTTAAAAATGTTTTTTCGGCATTAACCCTCATTTCAAAAGCCGCATTCAAATGAAACAAAGTCCAACGTATCCCTTGAAAACCTCTTTGGAACTTAAGCTCTGAATCCAAAATCTGATTTAATGTGTATTGTTTCAAATACACGTATTCCTTTCCGGAAAGATTAATGGCCGTCGATCCTGGAAAGTTCAAAAGCAAGCTTCAAGTTAAAAGGATCTGTTTAAATCGCTACGTGTATTTTCTTGATTTATACGTTCACACTGTGGACATAGAAAATTCGAATGTAGACCAGTGATTTGAGCTCCACCGTTCTCCGTTTACTGGGACAGAAGCCTTTACAGCTAAATGAGTTCTGCTACAAAAAAGCAGGCTGTCAAAATAGGGGAGGGACATGCAAAAATATCTTCGACCCTTCAGAGTTGCATCCGTAACTACCAATTGCACGGCCCAAATGGCGGCTCCAACAGGACCCCGTCGACTCGGGGGGGGTATCCGCCTTCATGAGGGCGGGGTGTCACATATGAGCGCTGCGTCGGGTAGCCGCACAGGGTTCTGGGAAACAGAGGGCGTCTTGTTCTCTCTGCTCTGTGGATAAGAAGTTGAGACGGAGCGGTCTGTCGGTAGCCGGCTGCCCGTTGCTCCCCCCCCCCGCACCCCCCGGTCCCGGAGTCTTTGAACCGCAGGGTCTCATGAGGCCGCCTCCTGAGGCTGGGACGGTCTGCTCTTCCAAACGGAAGATCCTGTCGTAACCGCGAAGCGGCCCGTTTTGCAGCCTGCCCAAGTTTGCCCAGCGCTTCTCCTTGATGAGCCTTAACGAGCACTCGCTGCAGGCTCTGTCCTGGAGGAAGCTCTATCTGAGCAGAGCCAAGCTCAAGGCTTCGAGCAGAACGTCAGCCCTTCTCTCAGGTTTCGCAATGGTGAGTACGGCTACTATGTGGCCGAGAAGGGCGCCGAATTATTTTTTTTAAAGTTGTCGTTAAGTGGGGTTTTTTTTTTCCCCCCCGTTGAAGGGAAACGAGCGTGCCTTGACAGTTAAACTTGCCTTTTTGTGCCGGTGCACGAAGAGGTATTAATAGAGATGTGTGATGTTTTCAGATTTCAGATTAGTTTCGTATCGTTTTTATTGTATTTCCAAGTTAGCTGCCGTGTCAACAATCCCCGTCATGATAATAATTTGATTTCCTGTTCGTCTTTGGTGCCGTGCAGGTTTTGTTTCAGCGTCCTGACAGTGACATGCCTTTGGCTTTGATCTTGGTTAAAACGATCTGCGCTGCCCGTACCTCTTGCTTAATCAATTGGTTTATTTCATGTATTTTATGTTTTAAGTCGGGTTGGAGATCTCGTGTTTGCATTTGAACCCCAAAATTCTCAATGAGAGCTGCGCCGTCTTGGGGAACTGCAGCTCTGCATTAACTCCACTCCCCGAATTCACCGAAGTTTTATCATTCAAAGCTGTCAGATTCAGTTAGTAGAGTTTCATAGGGGCATTTGATGCACCGAACAACATTTTGCCATTTTATGGTGATTTCACGTGGGCGAACGGCTGGTAAAGTAATGCACCCGTATGGCAACATTTTGTGTGCCGAGATATTATTCATTAATTTTCACGCCTTGAAATTCGGGGTGGGATTTTGCAGTCAGGAAGTAAATTGAGTCCGCATTGAGCCCCGTGAGATTCTGATCGTGTTTGTGCAATTCTGACAGTATATGTCTAAGATGTTCTTGGTAAATTATGCGAAGGTGCAACCAGTGTACACAACCCACTAGAATAATAAATTTAGCCTTTATCGGTATTCCACTGCAGATCTCCAGTGCTGCATTTTTTACACTCGTCATTGTTTCTTTGGGTGCGCATAGGGTGGCAAAACTGACATTGAGTACAATTGACCCGTTTTTATAACGCTTGGCAGTAAAACCAGCGCCAAGATATGAAATGGTTAGTAAAAAACAGTCTTATAGCTATCCATTAACGAATGCTATACTTTCTTATTGCCTACATACCAAGATGGTGATTTTCCATTCGAGTACTGCATGTAGAAAGAATGTAAGTCTGGCATAGCACTTATTCAGTCATTTACGTCTTGGAAAGGTTTGACAGTGCTGCATTTGTGTATCTGTGTTGTGCAGGCTAATCTTTAAACAGTCTTTTTCTGCTTTTTAAAGGGTTTCGAACCTGTAATAGATTGCACTGAATAGTTCATCTGTATGACAAAGCTACAGTTCTGTTTTAAGCACAGCACCAAAATTCCCCGTAATAAAACACAGGGAGCCCCCCTCTACTTTTTTGATTGAGTTTTTTTTTAAACTACTGTCATTTGTAATATCACTATTACATTTAAAAAGGAATATAGTATGCAACTGCAGGTGAGATTTTGTGATGTATTATTCCCAGGAATCGAATACACAAAACCTGTGTTTTCTGCACCTCGATGTGCCTGTAGCCAGTATGTGTGTCTGGGAAGCAGGGATGGCAGGGATTCCCAGGGATGGCAGGGATTCCCTTCCCGACTGTGCTTTGTCTTCTTCTTCTTGCTTTGTCCAGAGCTCTGCCTTGAGTGGCTTCCAAATGGGCCGAAAACTCACATCGAACATCTTAGGAAATGTTTATATTGGCACCCACCCACCCAGCCATTCTCTAACTGCTGGTTGTAGTTCAGGGTCGTGGGGGAGCCGGTGCCTTTCCCAGCAGGGGGCACCCTGGTCAGGACACCAGTCAGTCCAGCACAGGGCAGACGAAGACTTGCGCACACTCACACAAGGCCCAGTTCTCACAGAAGCCAATGAACCCGATTAACCACGCCAATATGCTACTGGGCTGTGGGGCGAGGCTGTAGCTCCTGGAAGAACCCCACACAAACTCCAGGCAGGTAGCCCCCCAGGTCCGGCAATGAACCCCGGGCTCCGGCACTGCGCCGACATACCGATTTATTGCAGAGCAGTCATTGTGAAATATACGAAAGGAGGAGTGCATTTAGTGGGGTTTTGATTTTTGTTTTGGGGGGGTAGGAACAGAGATCACTGCAAATGAATTGTGTGGCTGTACACTGGCAGAGTACCTGCACCCCGTCTTCCTTGGTTTAGATTATAAGAGGCATTGGTTTAAACTGGAGGTGATCTGGGGTTATACAGGAACACCCTAGACTTTATCTGCTCTACAATCATTCCACTGCGATCACTTTCACTCATTCTGAAAATCGTACCTGTTCTGTTGCACATTGAGGAGTGTCCGCAGGGCGTTTCCGTTTAATTCCACTTCAAGCTTTATTGTCCTCTGGGGGAAATGTGTTTTGCAACAGAGTGTAACACAGCAATACAACAAAGAAGGACAAATATCGCCGTAGAGCGTTGTTTCAGGTGATAAGAGAGCTTCTTTACGTTACGAGTGAGATTGCAGAGGTGATCAAATAAACTTTACTTTATATAGTGCCTTTAAAGGTGGCTTCTCAACGCGCTTTATAGAAAGACGACAGCAGCAACAACAATAAAAAAACTAAATACACAAGATGAGAGTACACAATGAGAGTATGTTGATGGTGGTACTAAATGCAGTAAGAGCGGAGGGGTAAAGAACAGAACCAGTTAAGGTGAAGGCTCTTCTAAAGAAGAAGGTTTTAAGTCTGGATTTGAAGGAGTTTAGAGATGGTGACTCTCCGATATCCTTTGGGAGAGAGCTCCAGAGCTGAGATGAAAGATTTCCGGAGTCTGTTACTGTTCTACCTGGTGAGGTGTCTCCCGCAGGGGAGCAGTGTGAATTCACAGCGGAGGGGGTGAGCCACACGTTCCATTATGCTCATCATCTTCTTCAGAACTGTTTGTAGACGGTGTTTGTTTAATTTGCCTCAGTGATTCGGCTGCTCATCTCCACGCGGATTCCCAACCAATCTCAATTAATGGTACAGATGCTGCCATCAGTAGTTTGCTGAAAAATGTTCAAATAAAAGTAGCACTTTCAGTACTAACACAGGTTGGTGGATTGGATTGTGTGCTGTAGCAGTTCTAGCCATGCCTTTGCTTAGGTCTTTATGACACTTTCTGTTTGAAATTACTTATTTATTGGTTTTCGTGTTCTTATCTATTGTAGGGTTTAGAAATGGTGGGGAAAAGCAGAGCATTTCCCATTTAGATGGGATAAGATCACTTTATCGGCCACATACATTTTCTTGCATCAGGAATTTGTCTTTTCGCATACCCCAGCTTGCTCTCCATGAGACACACAGACAGGGAGAGAGAAGCTGGGGGTCAGAGCGCAGGGTCAGCCATTGTACAGCGCCCCTGGAGCAGCTGGGGTTAAGGGCCTTGCTCAGGGGCCCAGTGGAGTAGGATTCCTCTGCTTTCTCTGAAACAGAGAAAAAATGTTTCAGCTAATGAGCCTTCTTCTGATGTCAGGCATTACTCCTGTAGAATGCTTAATAGCCAGAACATCTTTCTTTGCAATCTTCAGTGTGGAATTAACCTAATTATTAAGGGTTAATGTATAACCACATTACAGCAAAGGCATACTTAGTATTATTTATTTTTAGCCTTTTCCTTTTCAGTCCTGATTCATTAAACCTGTTGTGCACCCCGACATGAGGTATTTTTAAAACTGCCTCTCGTATGGTAACTGTTGGTAACGAGGCTCGTCCTTTCAATCATTTGATTGAAAAGGGGGGAAAAATGTTTTAGGAATCATAACCTTCATTTATCTTCTTCCATTAAATTCTGATTCAAGGCCTTTCCACAAGACAGTGAAAATGTCTGTTACCAGCGCACGCATGTCAACTTTAGATAAAAAAATTCTAAAGACAGGTGTGTGGAGTCCTGACACGCTTGGCCTGACATTTAAAGATGCTGAAACATTAAATAATTGATCACAACAAGCACCAAAGAGATAATAGCATCAGGTATGACTGGGAGCTTCAGTTCTGAATTATTTTTAATTAAATTTTTATTGTTTCACCCTTATTTTCATTTCCGGTTTTAGAAAAACAATAAAAATGCTTTATTCACAAGCCCAAATTATTCCTGCCTCTTTGCATGGATGAAGAATTGCCATGGAGTCAGTATGGTTTAGAATTGGAGCTTCTGCTTTTCGGACTTTTCTTTGGTCTGATTTTTATCCAGGAAACATTGGGAAGATATTCTATTTAGTTTACATCTCAGGGCAGTTTTAACAATAAGGGCTTTGACCGCTCTGGTGAATTGGATACTGACATATTAAGCCCATCCCCACAGACTCTGAGCTCATCTGCATTGCAATCGGAAGAAGAGGAACTGGGGTGCGTGAAGCTGGAAACCCCCAGTGGGATTCTGACTTCATGGAGCTCTGTACACGGCTTTGTCTTTTCACAACATTTCACAACTTATATACGCTCTCGCGAAGACCAAATAGGGCGTGTTGGTAGGGGGGGACAGGAAAACGACCGGAAGCTATACCAAAACAAGGCTCTTAGTTTCTGTCTTAAAAGCAAATGCAGTGGAAAAACTGTGGTTTTGAAGTTTTAAAATGTATATACTTTTAAACCATGAAAAAGTGCAATTCGGACATTTTCTGACCATTAGTAAGACTACACGGGAGAGACGACACGGGACCTCTCTCCTCTCGACAGATTTTATCTGGATTGTGAGTAGTGAAAGTTGTCTTCTGTCTGCCGCCCCCAGGTAGCTATGGTGGAGGTCCAGCTGGAGCCCAACCATGACTACCCCCCCGGCCTGCTGATCGCCTTCAGCGCCTGCACCACTGTGCTGGTGGCCGTGCACCTCTTCGCCCTCATGATCAGCACATGCATCCTGCCCAACATCGAGGCGGTGAGCAACGTGCACAACCTCAACTCCGTCAAGGAGTCGCCCCACGAGCGCATGCACCGGCACATCGAGCTGGCCTGGGCCTTCTCCACCGTCATCGGCACCCTGCTCTTCCTGGCCGAGGTGGTGCTGCTGTGCTGGGTCAAGTTCCTGCCCGTCAAGAGGAACCCCCTGTCCCCGTCCGGCGAGCACAACGCCACCGAGACCATCAGCGCCGGGGAGGCGGCGGCCATCGCCTCCACGTCCATCATGGTGCCCTTCGGGCTGATCTTCATCGTCTTCGCGGTGCATTTCTACCGGTCGCTCGTCAGCCACAAGACAGACAGGCAGTTCCAGGAGCTGGAAGAACTTTCCAATTTTGCCAGACTCCAGAACCAGCTGGACCACAGAGAAGCTCCGATGCAGTCACCGAGCAGTCATTTTCCCTAAACGGAAAATAAACGCCCCACTTGAGCCACTGAACTCTTGATTGTTATGGCTACTGTAATATGTTACCTGATGCATGGACGGGTTCTACTGTTTTAAACTAATGACTGGTTTTTGTTGCCTAGAAAACATCATTTGTAAGATTTACTGTACAGTTTTGCTGCTGTTTCAAGGGGTTTTGCATATCTGTGCATATTTTATATAGAAATGCAGAGGTTACATTTTTACAGTCGACGGATAAAGGTGTTTAGCACTGCAGTAGCGCATGCATTTTTAAGTTTTGATTGGATTGTGTAGGGTTCTGCAGTTTTTCTTATTTTGCCCCCTCTTATCAGTATATGAATTGTAAGAAAGAGAACCTAGAACATTGAATGATTTTTGTGCAGTGCATTACTTTTGCTACAGTATTCGATCATTATTGAGGCAATTAGTTGTAAAATGTTTTCTTTGAACTTGATACAGCTTTAAAAAATAAATATATATTGCTTAAAAAAAGCAATGAGATTTCACAAGAATAGTTGCCTTAAATTGTAGTGGTTACCTCATTAACAAGTTTTAAAAAGGCATTGTAGAATGAGTCTGCAAAGTCAAGAATCTTTGTTCAATGTGCCTGTTTAATACCCTTTTAATAATCTGTCATAAGATGAAACTGCTTTTGTATAGTGATGATATGAAAATATAAGGTGAATGACAGATCCCTTGAATATTTCACTGAAAATCAAGGGACTAGCATCTTTAAAACCACAACATAAATTAGTTGGGTTTAGCTTCATAAGGACAGTGCCAAGTCTTAATATGGCTCTTTGAACCAAAATTGTTTCATCTTAACACTGCATTTGACTATTCCACTATTGTGGAAAGATACATTAGTAGAGGTACATTCAAGCAAAAAAGAAAATGTTGAAACTAATTTTGGAATTTAGTTGTATTTATATATTTTGTGGCGAAGAAAAAGGTGTTTTTAATAGGTGAATGTTAATGGAGTCTACTGTAATCATTGTTGGCAATAGGGAGAAATGCATCCCACTGCTGGCACCTACTGGCCATTAAGAAGTAGTGAATTAAGAAATGCTCTGGCCAGACCGCTACACTGGATCCTGTTCTTCCTGATAATTTGAAGACTTGAGTGAACAGCACAAGCCATGAATTCCTAAATTCGGAAGCTACAAAACTGATACAGACTGTGTTAGCTAATACCATGACAAGATTGTTTTTTATACTCATAAGGTCAACTTATTAGTATTTAATGAAATGCTGTTCAAGATCACTGGGGAAAAACACTTTTGTTTAATATTTTATGACTGTTAAATGTACAGTATATGGAAATCTTTTCTTTACACACACACCAAGAAAAGTCAGGAAAACTAAGACTGCAAAATGCTTTTCAGTGATATATTTTCTTTAACTTAAGTATTGAACTGCTTAACAAAATGAGTAAACTTCTGATCATCTGTACTATACCTACAATTCAGGGTACTTCTAAATATAATATATTTCCAAACCTATCTAGTGCACAGATGATTACAATAGGTTTGTTAGTCTTACTATTTTTTAACCAAAAAAAGTATACCAAGAGTGAATGTGTAATCAGCTTGTTCATTAAATTATTTTTGTCAATTGTGTATTTTTAAACTTCTGAAAGCTGTAAATGTCCAAAAACTGCACAAAAGCAATGGTATTTAAATATACCTTTTGTATCCTGTAAGAGTCTCGAGAGCTTTTTTTGTGTCACTCTCTAAATTGATTCCTGTCTATTGCGCTCTTTAAAGAAAGTGCAAAGGGGTGAACATTGATCATTGCTACTAAGATCCTTTTCCAATTCGGTACTGTTAAGAGAAAATGTATGTTCACCGCATTTGATCAACATCCTGCTTCAGAATTTGATGGAGGCACTTTTTGATAAGGTCAAAAGGAAAGAAATTATAAAGTTTAATATTCTTTACAAGAAAAGGTTTTAATCTTATGGAATGAGGCTATGTACAAATCATTCGGAAGAAAAACAAAACCCCTGAAAAACACTTTAACAAGGATATAACATGATTACAATGGTAAGATCCCAGAAACCTCTAAGCCTATTTTGCAAAACTTGTATTTGCATACTAGAATATTATATGTTCTGTGGCCTTCAGCCTATAAGAGAAGGATGATGCATTTTCACTGATTGCAGATAATGACCCTGTTATCTGGTACCACCTTTACTGGGTGCAATGAATCAGGTTATGCTTGCAAAGAGATGCCAATGCAGCCAGGTGTGAGAGAGGGCCTGTTTCCCCCTTGTTTTCTCTTTGTCTGCCATCCTGGTAAAATCTGAATTTACTCCCGTTCGACTGGAAGCTGTGATAGGGCTTCTTTTAAAACTGCAGCTGGGTCTGCCAGATGTACCTTGAATAAAAGAAAATGGCACCGTCATGAAAAGAAGCAGCATTCTACTATAGGAGACCCTACATTACATACAGAAAGAAAATGATTCTGTGGGCTATAAAGTCACAAAACAAGATTTCTGTTCAAAATGCATGAACATAAAAATGGGATAAAGTTGTCTAGTTTTACATTTACGAAACAATTACATTTTAAGAGAGAACCAACATGGATTTAGGAGAATGTTTTTTGTTTAATATACTAAAATTATTTGAACACAAGAACAATGACACCACTAAAGCTGACACAATGTAATGGTTTCCCAGAATGCTTTTCATAAGGACCCCCAAAATGGCTGTCAAATGAACATCTAGAATTCAAGGTTGCACATGAAAACTGGTTAATGAATTGGAAAATAGCTGTCTTCTTAAGGGATAAAACGTTAAATCGGACAGATGTAAGCACTGATGTGTGTGATTTAAGGCCTGTTGCCTCTAGTTATCTACAGTATATCAATGGTTTAGATTCTGGTGTAGTTTCCAAACTACATTTGTAGAAGATGAAAAAATAGGGGGAGTGACAAACACTGAAGCAGTGGCAAGGGGCTTAAAATAAACATGCACAAACACTGACCAGGCAGAAAAATGTAACTTCACATTAATAAGTGGTCCATATAGAATGTAGGAAGGATAATCTGAATTTATCAATGTGATTGAAGTGTTTCTTTCTGCTTTCTGCTAATTTCTGTCATAACTTTCTGAATAAACAGACCCCTCTGCCATCCTAGAAAAAACATCTAAATGGATAAATGCCAATTCATTTTTGAACCTGTGTTCAAACAATAAAACAACTTGTACAGTGGTGCAAAATCTTTCTTCTTGCCAAATGAAGGGCCTTTATAGTTTAAAAGGTTCTCTAGTTTAGTGTTTTAAACATGTTGGATGCGACACACACCTGATTATACTCTGTTAAACGAATTACTATAGTATAGGTATTCTTTCTAATGCTTTACAATAATATAGATAATAAATAAACCATTTATTGATAGGGTTTCCTGTCCAATTATTTTAATGTTCCCACAGCAACTTTGAGGCCTTCTCTGACTGAATACAGGGATCAGCTTTTCCCCAGTTCATAAGGATAAATCCACAATGACGTGAGGCAAAGTTCCATCCTTACAGTCCTAAAGACAGAGCTTCTCAGCTGTGTTACTTTTCCCAGGCGTAAAAATAAACTAATAAACAGGCCTGTTTCCATAATTTTGTTTTACCAACATTAAGGTTTTCTTTTCAAACTGGGCAGGGGGGTGCTGGCACTTCTTTTTTCCCCTTCAGGCGGTGAGTATTAGCTATCCCTACCTCTGGAATTGGGTAGATAGTTGGAGCCGGGGCTCCTTCTCTCCCAAAATCGACCACGGTTCCACACTTGGCAATGTCCTCTACCCACACCCCTTCGTACAGCTGGCCCTTGTCCAGGTAGAAGAACTTCCCAGGCCCGTGCTTCTTCCCAGTCTTCCAGCTGCCTTCATACCTGTTCTCGTTTGCTAAGAGGAAGAAAAATCAAGTGTTTCCTGCGTTATACAGGAATGCCCTCACCTAGCTGGCAGAACCTGAATCTCTGTTAGCAAGCTCTTGTTGAAGAAACCCATACTCAAATCAGAGCACGGGGCAGAAGGTATACTGAGTCACTCCTGACAGCGTGTGGTAGATTGTGGTAGATTTTGCCCAGCACTTTCCTTCTGGCGCAGCAAAGTCTTGGCAAGTTGCAGCAGAAATTGGGAGTAACCACAGAAAGGTTGTGGAACCACTGGAGGGATCATGCTGATTCCATCCTTAAAGGTGCTCGGGCTAGGAATCTAACCCAGGAATCGAGCCCAAGTACCCCAAACAGATAAAATCACCCAGCCAATATATCACCCATTTTCTACCAGAAAGCCAAGGCAGAAAGCCAATTGTCCAGATTTCTTGGACAATTATGCAATGACAAACCCACCTGTCAGTTTGTGTTTTAGTAAAAGCTAATCCCGCTGCTCGTTTTCTTGACTTTGTTCACAAAACATGGACAACATGTTAATCTGCAAATGTTCTGCAAATTAAATATACACTTACTGGACCACAGAGACAATGAATAACCTGAACCTGAGAAGAATATACAACCATCATAGATGGCATCACCCTGCTGCTGTGCTGCTTACAGAGACACCTCAACAGTTGCAGAATATGTGATCATCAAGCCTTACCAAGTCTCAGCATTCCTTGTCCATTGTGTTGGTCCTCCAGCCACTCCCCCTCATATATATCTCCATTCACATAGTACATTCTGCCCCAACCACTCCTCTGGTCTCTGAGCCACTCTCCCTCGTAGCAGGAGGAATCATTGTAAAAGTAAGTCCCAAATCCCTGAAGAACACACACAGAATAACCTGTCAGAAAACTGCAAACAAATATACCTGAAGGAGGCTTTCTATTTTTCAATGTGGAATTCCAAATCATGCTTTGCGAAATGGCTTGTATTTTGTGGGAATGCAGGGAAAATACTAAAAGGCCCTTTACAGTCTGTTACGTCCCCGTGCGTGTCTGTGTGTTTTGGTTTTTTTCCCACTTCCTGTATTCAGGTACCCCCTATTGGTCCGTCATTACACCATCGCTACATTTGTGATGTCATCACCAATATACTCCCGGCCAATCAGAACCCAAGATTAACAGCTTATATATTTGAAGAAGTCTCGACTCCATCAGCTTTTGCTCGACTTCCGTTAACTTCGGCTCAACATCTCATAGTATTTGCTCGCTAGTGTTCGTGTTTGTTTGTTGGCTTGTTTGATTAGTTTTGATTACCTGTGTGTTGTTATTAGCTTGCCCATACTTGTTACTTTCCTTTTTACCTTACTTGTTATCATTGTACCCCATTCCTCGCTTTTGTATCGTATATGCGCGTACTACCCTTTTTCCGCCATTGTGCAATTTTGCTCAACCGTGCTGTCTGAGTTTTACTATGAACCTTTTGTACATTTGGGGGAATGGTAATAGGTAAGATCTATAATATAGATCAGATCACATCGTCACTGTATTAGCTAGGGCCGTTTTGTTTTTTCATTTTATTTTCTTTAGCACCGCTCAGGTTCCTTTTCCCTGTGTGTTCTTTGTGTCCTGTAAATATGTACCAGTCACTTATTCACTTTTTTTTGTAAATAATAAATCACTTTTGCACCGAAACTGTATTGTCCTGCCACAGTCCCTCACCAGAAACCCACCTGCATCCAAACCCGTCCTGAATGTTACACCCCTTTACCCCTAGACTACTGGGGTCGTAACACAGTCCGTGCAGATATTTAATCACACCGTCACTGCCATAACAGAAACTGAAGGTAGATGACATCAACCTGAACTTTGCAGCATGGTGCCTACATTTCACAAAATACACCCGTCTATGCATGGGCGAGCCAGAGTTCACAGCCCTTGGTCTCAGAAACTGGACTCCTTCCCACGAGGAGTCAGACACGTCCAGGAGCTGTGAGGACTCGCTTGGGCCAAGTGTCCCAACCTCCTGCCTCTGACTAAGAGTCAATTGTTTCATCAGTGCATGATATTGAAACCCATTGATCCAGTGCTCCGTCATTGAGCGAAGGGGTGTGGGTAGAGTACACTGACAACCTGCAGAGCAGGGTAGTCCTTGTTGCTCACAAGCCAGCTTCCCAGAAGGCCTGTCAGCCTGAATCATGCCCGAGTACACCTCCATCTCTGTGAAACCCACTCTGCCCATCAGTACCCTGTCAGTCCAGCTAAGCACTGACAGCAAGACGCGGCCTTCTCTACCTCCTCGCCACGCCGTAGCAACACCATGATCTGTGCACGAATACCATTGTACCCAGCGAGACACATTCAGCTCGTACCCCCTCCCGGACCCAAGCCCAGCCCTCCTGTGCTGCTTCTGGTACTCGCCTCTTTCTTGTCGTTCTTCCATGCTCCCGAATAGACCTTGACGTACTCCCCAGTGCCGGGATGGGGCATGCTCAGAGTCCCATGGCCACTGCGCTTGCCACGTTTCCAGTCCCCGTCGTAAATGGCTCCGGTCTTCTTCCACACCTGTGTGCCCTTTCCTAATTCCGACAACAAAAAACAGATCAGCTCATTTTACCATCCTGGGGTAGGTCCTCCTTACTGTGTGCTGGATATCACAGTCCCTTGTCTTACAAAGAATGTCTCACTATCACTCTCGGGGCTAACATTTTTCTATGTATATAATTTTAAAAGTACCAAATAATTTTTAACTGCCACCCACCTCCACCACTATCTCATTTTGAAAGGCCAAAGTTTTCAAGTTGTCCCTGCAAAACAGTGTAGGTGCATTGCATCGAATAACTCAGGTCAATCTTTGGCATATGATTCATATTTTAATCAGAAAAAAAATGTCATAAAATAGATTCTGATTCTTCTTTCGGTGCAAACACCAAAAATTGGTGTAATTTTCAACATTACACCAATTCAGGTCGCTGTAGAGGGGGGCTTACTCTTCTGACTACCCGATGTCCAACCCGCAAACAAATGAACTGCTGGAAAATCTTCTTAGCACCGCTAAACTCACCGCTAAACGCAACCTTTATACATTGATCTAAAACCGGAATTGGCAGGGAACTGCTGTCACTTTACCGTGTTTCATGTTGTCCAGCCACTCGCCGGTGTATTGATCCCCGTTGACCGAATAGACGCTGTGTCTCAATCCACATTTCTGTGCCTTTTTGTCCCATTCCTTGACGAGAGGTTCAGCTCTCCGGGGCTTTTTAAAATGGGGCATGGCTGCTCCGCTGTGACAGAAACGGCTTCTAAGTGATGTTAGGAGAAGGAATACCAACAATATATCCGTACAGTCTGGGTTGAGCCATTGCCCTGAAGCATTTTACAGCGACTGGAGGATGCCCGTCTTTAATTACATGTGGAATCCGGAGCATTCGTTTAGTATTTAAAGTCATTCATGTAAAATAATTACGCTAAAAATTGAGATATGTGTTATTTGCAGCACGTAATAAGTTGTGCACAATGTGTTTTTATTTAATCATAATTCTGAGTAACGCGACATTACATAGATATGATAGGATTACTATTTAAATAAACACGGCCCCTTCTGCCTCAACTGCGTTGGAAAGTTAAACTTAGGATAAAGAATGGAAATACCTTGAAGAGGTGAGCGACTTTCTTTAATCCGTCTTGATTAAATTAACCAATTTGCAAAAAACAATGAAATATTAGGAAGAACAGAGCGCTGTATAAACACACAGCAGGCACCACTCAACAGCGTGATCCGTAACCATAGCAACAAACCCAAACGTCTTCCTGTCTCTCACAATTTAATATTTCGTGTACAAAAACATTCTGCCACAGAATAATAGAAGCAATTAACACACTCTTCGTGGTGTGCATTTTACTTTGTTGATTAAATATTTTAAATTATAATAATTTTGTCAATTTCAAAAATACAAAATAATGTCTTATAAAGACACTGAATACCAGCATTCAAAAAAAATAATATAATAACGATAACTGTTAGAAACAATTAGTGATCTGACACTTTGGCCTATAACATAACGTATTATATTCTATAATAGGCGTTGTTCCTGTTCTATTTATATAAGTACTGTTTGTGTGCTTGTAAATCTAAAATTACGACTGCGGATTTCGTGTAGTAAAAACAATGCATGCACTTTACTCAAAAGAATGGAAGAACGTTTTATTAGTACGCGCTTAGAAACACACAACACTCTCAAAAATGCAAATTTAAAAAATGCACAGCACAGTAAAGTACAGCCAGGACTGTAGCAGTACATACGGCTCAGTTAAATTAAGCCCTTTCCCTGATCTCTGTTGTCTCTAAAAGCTTTATTTCCTGTGGTGAAATAAGAACATTATCTCCAACAGCAGAAGTGACTGACGTCTCTATTACGAGCTGTAGATCGCAAAGTGCTCCGGTAACCAAAAGAAACGACGTGAAAACTTAACGTGAAATTTCCAAGTATTAACTACTTGTTAAAAAATTAAGTTATATTTAATTTTGTCAAGTATGCATATTTATTTCAGCAATTTAAAAATTGATTATATTTAGCGAATTACTACTACATATTATTTTATTGTAATATGTGCGTTGTTTTATAAGCCAGTTAAAAGGCGTGGAATTAGACACCAGATTTAATGTAATTAATCTTAATAATTATAGCACTGATGGTGGTGGTTTGATAGGTTTAGTAGTAGCTTCCACAAAGTAATAATAATAATTGCTTACACTTCTATGGCGCTTTTCTGTACACTCCACTCAAAGCGCTTTACAGGTAATGGGGACTCCCTTCCACGCTGCAATGCACCTTCTTACGTTTTATATTGGCCGCTTATTTTAATACTTGCAATATTTAAACGTGTTAATTGGCAGTGTTCTTAGAAGTGGTAATTATAACAATAAAATGACAGATTGTCATACCCGGTTATTATACTGTAGCTGCAATCTCAATGCATCCATAATGTCGTAGCACTGCCACCGAGTGGAAGAAATCTTATATTTACAAAGACTTAATCTAAAATGAAATATCTGTAAAGATCAAACAAGTCATATTACCCAGATGCATCCTTTCGAATTGTCTAGTTTTAGCAGAATTGTCAACTTTAGGTGCATTTAATAAGTAATGCATACTCGAAGTTTACGTTTCTTTAAAAGTAATTACTGTAGGCTTTTTCACAGTCTGAAACGTACGAATAATGGTGCTAGTTCTGTTGTCAGCTTCAACAACGAGTGCATTCCCTTCATTCGTGAAAAAAGGCGTGTTCAACTAACAGCCGATACAAATACCGGTTTAAAACTATCCTTCTGTTCACAAAGCATATACCATGTAGCTTTTATGGGAAAACAAATCACGTGCTTTACATGTATCCAGCTGCAAATCGTTCTGTAACTGTCTAATTAGGCGGGGAGTTACTTGAAATTTGTTATTTTTTAATCATTCGTTGCTTAACCTTGCACCGCTCGGGAGGAGTGGAAGTGAGCAGAGCTCGGGATTCGCCAGATCCCAAAAGCACAATGTTGTGACCAGAAACGCGGATTGCCACGGCGCCGGTGGCCCGTCATGTCCCTGCGCCGATGGGGTTCGTGTCCCTGACGTCACGACGAGCGGCGCCGCGGCGCGCCTGCGCGCTGGGAGGCGGCGAGGTGGCTCTGGGATAGCCGAGTGCTGGGCAGCTGTGGCGGCGGCAGTGTGTGGTCGGAGGGAGAGCGAGTGAGGAGGCTTTGCTACAATGTCACTGCAGCGGTGCCTGGCAGAATGGGAAGAAATCGAGCAGGAATTTCAGCAGCTGCAGGTGGGGGATTCGCCAAAAGAGCTACGGGACTGTCGCCCACCTCCGTTACTGTCAGACACAACTTAATCAAGCCATGCTCCTTCTGCTGTATCGGTGTTTATGTATATGCACCGCTGGCTGGGGTGCATGGGTTGTGCTGCCCTTGTAGATAGCGGGTCGATTTCAGGAGTCATGTCGGCTTGCTGTGTCTTTTGTTCCCTTACTCTTTCCGACTGTGTGCGGCGCTATTCGTAAGCTTATGGCCAGGCGAGGGGACGTGGAAGATCCTGTGTGAGGATTTTAACTTCAAGTACAGTTATTGATACGCTACCGGTTTGCCGTAAGAGGCTGTTGTTCTTACCGCTGTTGAAATCTTTGTGAGTGTGCGTGGTCGTTTTGCAGACAGTCACAATGGGGTGAAACTAGTATAACTAGTAACGTGTTGTTCATAGGATCCTATCAATAGGTGGGCTTTCATTTGTTCTTAATAAAGTAGGTGGAGTGTTTTAAGTGCCAAGGACAGCTTGGCAGAATATATTGGGCGTTTGTCTGTCAACAGTGCATGCACAAATCAATATATGCGTTTAAACAAAGCCTAACACAAGTTAAACTCTTACCTGCAAAGTTAGTTTTTAATTACAAGAAGAAGGTGTTTGATTACACTTGTTTTGGTCCTCTTTCTTGATATAAATACTGTACATTTGATTCCTTAACGTGCCTGTTCACGTGTGGTTTTCGTTTTGTTTGAGGACAAGTTGAGAGAGGCAAAGCTGTTGGAGCTAGAAATGGCTTCATTACAAATGCTGTGAGAGAATTTGATCCCACCAAGTCTGTACTTGTCCCCGCAGAACTGTTTAATGCAGAGGTTTCTACAGGTTGCATGCATAATGTCCTATGTAGAAAAAAGTGCTTTTTAATTTCAATAAAAACATGTAACTCGTTTTAATATATAGTAAACAATTTTATAGCCTGCAGCTTCAGCCACAAAGCTATTATCTAATTTTAATCTCATCAAACAGTATCCTTCCAGCAGACCTGAAATTGCATTGCCCTAGTGAAATATTTAATGAGATGAGCTGACTCCATCAGTACAGTATTGTGTAATAATCAGATATGAACACGCTTGATTGGTTTGCAAAGTTCTAATGTTCTACACAGTATATGTGAACTCTGGGAATGATTTTAACATTTTCCCCAGGCTTTGTAAGAAGTTACATTTTCCTTTGTGAGAACAGAATGACCTGAATCATTTTTAATTAAGGAAACGATTTGTCATTTTGTTTTGAGAAGTTACTTCAGTCTGCATCATTGATTTATCATCTTGGCTTGAAGCATGCACAAGTTTTATCTTGATGTCAAAACCACAAGGGTGAGAATGCAATACATCAGAGCAACTTACAGTATATATGTTTTTGATGTAAATTAGGTGCACCTCTGAATATCGGTTGTGTTTTCCAGGAAACGCACAAAGTATATAGACAGAAACTTGATGAACTCACCAACATTCAGATGATATGTAGCAATACCATCACCAAACAGAGGAAGAGCCTGAATGATCTGAAGTATAGTCTACACAGGTAAGCATGCCTGCACAAAAACAGTGGCCAGAGAGATTCTTCAACAGGCATGATACATTGCACAATCCAAGTTTGTGTACAGCATTCCTGATTCAATTATCTGAAGCGATTCCAAAGTGGTGGAGCTCCAGAGCCGTTCTTCCGTCAGTGAAGTACAATACGTGCCTGTTAAATCTGACAACCCTCTCTCGTGGAGCATAAAAAGGGTTATTTCTGAAATCAGTCACTGAAACAAACACATCTAAGTGCTGTTTGAAAGTAGTAATGAGGTTTATTCTTTGCATTTCCATCGCTCTTTTTCACCCAAAGGACTGCAAAATGCTTCATCTATAGGAGGTGGGTGATGCACAACAGCCATTGTGCTCCAGTAGCCTCACTACACAGCTGCTCGGGTTACTTCACCAGTTGAATTAAGGATAAACTTCAGATGTGCAAGACTGTGTGCATCCCAAGTGGAATTTAGCCAGCACACATGGGTTAACACTCGTACTCTTATGAATAGTGCCACGGGAGCTTGGGTTTAACACCCCACCTGAAGGATGGTACAGTACCTCCTATGGAACACCCTCCTCCATCACCATACAGCACCATTGCTTTTGAAGTTCTGTTCCAGAGGGAAGAGTGCCACCTACCTGTCTCCCATCGCCACTTCCCACATCAACCAACTGGTCTTCCTTAGAGCTCTCCCACTCCACTACTGGCCAGGCCCAACCTTATTAGCTACTTAGGACCAATAGAATGGGCTTCAATTCATGCATTGTTTAATGTTACGTTTCAGGTGTACACAGTCAAGTAATCCAAAAGAGATAGTACAGATAGCAGAGATCCAAACCCAGATCAAAGACAAGCAGAATGTCTTCTTTGATATGGAAGCCTATTTGCCAAAGAAGAATGGGTAAGTATTGTCTTGCCTGTGGCTCAGTTTGTGGTGATACCATCCATGTTTCCCTTGTTAACCAGAGTGATGAAAGGTACAGGCTGAGTTGTGCACAGAGGGTGGAGTGCATACAAGTAGCTGTGATCAGGGCATCACACATTATGCTTAAATGGGAAGTTGGTAGTACAATTATGAAGGAGTGATCATAACTGCAAAATGTTACTGTTGAATATGTAGAAAGTTGTAGCTAGCAACACGTTAATTTTAATAACTTGTTTAAGACAAGTCGCGATGCTAAGAACATAATAACAGGTACAAATGAGAGATAGTCATTTAGCCCATGTTTGTTAGAAGTTTTCCACGAAAACCTAGTTTAAAGACAACTTGTGCGGTCTCATTACAAATGTCAGCTTTCTTGCATATCCATGCAGAAAATGTCTCTGACATCAGGTTTTGGCAAAGAAGAATAAAGCCATCAAACCCATCACCTATCAGCCTCTTAAGATATTTTAAAATACCAGTATGTCCTCTATATTTACTTAGTTGTATAGTGTGACTCCCAAGCCTGAGCTTTTTCTTTCTTTGCCTGGGTGATTAATGTTTAATGTTGGGTTGTGTTTCAGGTTATATTTAAATTTGGTCCTGGGAAATGTGAATGTAACTCTGCTCAGCAATCAGGCAAAGTAAGTTCTTTTTTATTTTGTAGTAGTAATTGGAAAAACAATTGCTAAAACAGTTTTCATTGAATTGTACCTTTGTTACAGATGTCAGATGAGTCTTTTCTATGTGGGCAAAAATTGCAACACAGACAAAGTAACTTCATGAAATACACTTATAATTTGTGCATTCAACTGCAATACAGTCCTTTTCATATTGTTTTTTTTTTCAGATTTGCATACAAAGATGAGTATGAAAAGTTCAAGTTATACATGACAATAATCCTGTTGCTGGGAGCCATAACATGTAGATTCCTGCTTAATTACCGGTGAGTTCTCTACAGTTTTCCCAATGAAACAGTGTGTTTGCAGCATTAAAGCACCTGGAAGAACACCTCCCACCTCAGTTGTGTACTATTGTAGGGTTTTTATTCTTCAATTTTTGTTTTTTTCCCCCTTTTAATAAATTCAAGTTGATGGCAGAGGGATGTAGAAACACGTATAACAAAGCAAAGTTCTTTTTTCAGCGTGCAAACAAATTGAAAGTAAAATTCTCCCCCGCAGGTAAGTTCTCTGGTACTAAATTTTTTTGTATTTATTTCACACACCAATCTTTCACACCATCTTAAGGGACTGTAGAAAGAAAGAAGGACCAGGGATTTAAGAAAGTGTCCTCCTGCTGATTTTGCAGTTTAAAAATCAATCAGTAACCTCTTGAAATGAGAATTTTGATAAGAGAAGAAAATCATGAAACTCTTATCATACATTTCTTGTGATATTTCACAAGGGCAGAGATTGAGTAATAGTATAATCATGCTCCTGATGTTGCAGATATCCTTAGTAATATGCTGATGTGTTGTTATATTGTATTTAAGTGGTTGATACTTTACACACAGTGCTGACACGGAGAAAACCATTTCCCACGGTGCCAAAACCAGATTTTTTCTAATGGCTTCTGCTTGTCATATAGTTGTTTCATCATGTGACCTATTCTAGATTTTAGGAACCCCCGGTCAGATGTACAGTATGCACGGAAGAGTCCTTAGAGCTATTGAACACATATGAAAGTAGTGTAGTGTGCACTTCAGTCTCGCACAGTGTTATCTTCATCACAACCTGAGAAGAAGGGAATCCTGCTAGAAGAATGAGGCGAGACTGGGCAGTGAATATTTCAAAGCTCTGTGGAATAACACTCCACATCCCGCTCAAGCAGTGCTTTGCTGTTTGCAAAGAGCCCCAGTGCATGCAGTGCATTTGATGGAGGTACCTTAAACATCTTGACTAGTGAGTGTTGTTCAAGCGTCTTTATTATTTGTTTTTCTTTGTTTTCAGGGTGACAGATGAGATCTTTAACTTTCTGCTGGTTTGGTATTACTGCACGTTGACAATAAGGGAAAGCATTCTCATCAGTAACGGGTCAAGGTAATGCAGACCGCTCGTGGGGCAGTGTAATGTGCAAAATGGCATCATTTCACCTTGTGGAGAGGGTCAATAACGGTGCGATAGTCTCACAGTCAAATTCCAAAAGTTAATACTGGTTGAATATTTAGCGTTTTTAAAAAATGAGATCCATGTGGGTGCAAGTTCCAGTATTTTTAAGTGGGCTCCTTCGTAGTTTGGGAATCCCTGAAATTCTGTGGTGACTGCAGGTTATTGCTACACACTAATCACTTCAAGAAGAGCTTTTCTGTTCCACATGCTGTGAATGATTGCCTTCTGAGTGTCCTCAGTGGACTCGAGTTGTCCTTTCAGTTGTACCACATAATGCTTACTAACATTAGGATCCTGCTGCTAGGCAGATACCTGTTTTGAACAGTCCATTTTTAAGCATAATAGGTTTGCTGCAGTTACAGTGTTTGAATCCATTTCTGCTCTTGAAATGTAATGGTCCCTTGACTGATCCTCTTCTTTTGTCTAGAATAAAAGGCTGGTGGGTTTCCCACCACTATGTTTCCACATTTCTGTCTGGGGTTATGTTAACATGGTAAGTGATGGCTGCTTGCAACAGATTCTCTATGAAACAAACCCTTGTTTTATTACTTTGTATGTGGTTGTGTATTATTTCGGCTTTAAAATGCATCAGAAATTTGTACCTGAGCAGTAAATGCCCAATGAAACCCCCTAGAAAACAAATACTTGTACATTGTTTTTAAGTTAACGTGCTGCAGATTAAACCCAATGGTTAAAAGCAAGCCAGCAATTGATTGCTTTCTCGTATCTCCAAAGGCCAGACGGTTTGATGTATCAGATGTTTCGAAACCAGTTTCTGGCATTCTCAGTTTATCAAAGTAAGTCCCTCCCTGCACAGCTCAACACGAGTGTTTATCATAAGTTTGTTTGCATTTACCGACAACTTCAAGATGTGCTTTTAAGCCATTTTCCTTTTTTTTTTTGCCTTTCTGCACCTTCGCCCCTCGTCTCTTTCACAGGTTTTGTACAGTTTCTGCAGTATTACTACCAAAGTGGCTGCTTGTACAGGCTACGGGCTTTAGGAGAGAGAAACCATCTTGACCTCACCGTGGGTAAGGCCATCATCAGACAGACACCCTCACCCTTTGCTTTGGGCGGTTTGAATCATGGAGTCATAAATGTATAAGTGGACTAAACTGCTGGACCATCCCTGTAGTGTTGGTTTCGTATTTATTTATTACTGAGCTCTGATCAGACAAATAAGCTTGCCAAGTTGGGGTAAACGTCAGTGATAAGAAGTTATAAATTAATTACAACTGCTGGGCAGTAGGACACACACATGCTGTTCTTCCTCCTAGGTTTCTGTTTTCAAGCGTACTACACACGCATGCAATATTAAAGGACAAAGAACTGCGGTGGGTCTGTATTCATCATCGGCAAAGGCTCACTGAAGCGTAGCTGTTAGTTTGATTGTAGTAAACAGATCAAGTTGCAAGGACAGGAGACTGATTCTACTCATGGTTCCACAGTGCAGGTGGTGGTTCCATAGACCTGAATTATCAGTCATCCTTCTTTGTGTCATTTACATGAGCATGTCTAGATCAGGATATGTGACTCTACCCAAAGTTTTTTTTTTTCGAGGGGTTTGGTTTGAAGACGGCGAGATAAATTCTTATTTTTCCGTGTTTTGTTTATGAAATCGTCTGTACAAGGATACAAAACGTGCATCTGCTTTCGTTTAGGTTGTTTTAAAATGTCCTCTTTGTGGGGCAGTCTTGTTTGAAATGCCTCTTACGCTGTAGGGGGTTTGAGGCGGAAGTGACTTAAGATGGGTTCGTGCTTGCTCTGGGAGATGTATTTTATGGTGTAGCTCTTAGAAGATGTTCACGAGACACAACATTTCTTTTCATACCTGCGTGTATTTTCCAGAGGGCTTTCAGTCGTGGATGTGGAGGGGGCTCACCTTTCTTCTCCCTTTCCTCTTCTTCGGCCACGTAAGTCAGCTTGTCGTGTGGGGGGCTCATGAATCCATTTTTTTGAATCCATTGAATACGCTCATGCTCAAAAACATTTTTCCAAGACAAAATTATTTGTCAGCAGATATCTTATAGCGTGTCAAAAACTAACGGGGAAATAAATGAGTATTATTTGTAATATGAAAGATTTTACAACTTTCAAAGGGTTCTGAATATTTCTACAAGGCACTGTATCTGATCAGGTCTGGTTATAAGGTGGTAATTCCCCTGTCAAAGTTTATCGTTAAATATAATCTCTATGTGGCATGCAGGGCGCAGGCCAATGGTTGCACAGTCCAGTAGGGGAGTATTTCCAAAGTTGTGTTTTGTAACCCTGAAAAGTTCGATGACTTTGCTGTGCAGAGCTAGCAGTGCCCTATGATCTAAGGCCTGATCACAGTAGAAGTGATTGAATATTTCACATTGGGGGTCATCTCCCTAAGCATGGCTGATATCGTTTTGTGAAGGATAACGGGAATACTGTCCTCAGTAAATACAGAAAGCTCAACTTGAGGAATTCACTTCAGAAAACAGTAGACTCACTGCAGCTTGTGGGGAGTCAGCCCAGACTTGTTTTAATTTTAGGGACCTGGGTGATGTCCTGTTTTATAGCACCCCCAGGCTACCCCACGTCGTCCGCTTTAGTCTCATCTGTCTTTCATCTGGCGTCGGACTTGGAGAGCTGTTGCAGTTTGTTGGAGTTGTGAGAGGAGATTGACATTTTTTTTTTCCTCCTTCAGTTCTGGCAGCTTTATAACGCAGTGACACTCTTTGGTCTGTCCAGTCACGAAAAGTGCAAGGAATGGCAAGTAAGTGTAGCCTTTTTATTTGAACAACATCAGCACCTTTAACATCACGCCCGGGTTCTTATCTGACAGTGACTCCTTGTTTTGCTTATACAGTAAGAGGGTTTTTCTTTTTCTTGGCTGAAGCAGTTTTGTCCTTGTAACGTCTTCATACCAAACCCGCCTGGGTTCCGGATTTAAGAACATCAAGCTTGTAAACAAGAGGAGGCTAGTCTGTGCGTCTGGGTGTTTTTGGGGTGCTTCTAGGTTGGGGTTCTCCCACTCTGGTCCTGAAGAGCCCTGGTCCAGTTAGTCTTATAGGTGACAGTTAGACTTCTTAGAAATCTTAAGTGATCTTTTATTTTTTATTTTTTATTTAACGAGTGATCACAATGGAGTTGCACCATCATCTGTAGAAATTTGTGCTGTAATGGTGACCTACGGAACCTGTTGAATTGAGGCTCTCCAGAACCAGTGTTGGAGATCCCTGTTCTAGGTGATTTGTCTAAAGAGCTTCAACAATATGACTCCTCGGGTTGTTCCAGGCTCCTGCAGCCCTCTGTGTAATGGCTTGCTTCCTGTGCTCAATCTCACATTGGGGTTACAGACCACACTCAGACCCACAGCCTCTGCAGTGACAGCGTCTTATATGACTCAGGGCAGCGATTTTATTTCTTTTTCCTAGGTGTCCATGTTGGCCCTGACATTTCTTGTCCTCTTCCTGGGAAACTTCCTCACAACTCTCAAAGTCGTCCATCAAAAGTTTCAGAAAAACAAAGACAAAACAAAGAAGAAAGAATGATGCCAGTGGGATCCTGGAGTAGAGGGTGAAGGTTTTTGAAGTGGTAGGAATCGGAGACCTTACAGGGTGGGGAAGGGAGAGTTTTTTTTTTACAGTTAGAGGTTCTGACAATTTTAGATGTTCTTTTGAAAACTCAGTGGGAGGAGGAGGAGGGGGGGGGGCACATCTGTCCATGAATCTTTATCATGCTGTGAAACCCATCGCCACTTTATGCAGGGATATCCAAACCGTATTCTCGATTTTTGAAAGGATTGTGTCTGTTCTTTTATAATCGTATAGACTGAGGCAAGGATGGGCCCATAAATAGAAGCACCACTAAATGAGCTACAAATAAGCTTGTAAGCACCTGAATTTTTTGTTTTTGTTTTCCAGTGTTACTGGTATTGAACTAATGAGCAACTGCTTTTTTTGTCGGATTTTAACTGACGTTTTTACTCACTCCGTTTAACTGTCCGCAATAAAACAATGGATAACGGCTTTGATTATATTTTAAAAGAAAACAAAAACCGCAGCCTGTGACAGTAATAAGTGATGTACAATTGGCTCAGCATTCCTGGAAGCAGCATTGGGGTTAGTCCAGCTCTCCTGGCTTTCCGGTGACACTGCGACCCCTGTGACTTCCCGGGTGCCTGCAAGGACCCCTGTGACAGAACGAGGGGTCACTGCCCGTCGGCGCTCAACCGCCTGTATACCGGTGGGCAGGTCGAGGAGCCAGCCAGCAGTTCCTCTCTCTCGCCCTGCGGGTGAAGCTGCTGTGTGCCGCAATGCCAAGTAAGAGTTGCCAATTCCATAGGATGGGCACATCATAACAAAGAGCTGGTGATTCTAGCTGCAGTCTTCATGCTTCACAAGAAGCGGGGTCATGGTCAAGTCTGACTTCTCCAATGCTGAGCCTTAAAACAGCGGCTTGCGTCATGCTATATATAACACTCATTTATCACTCAGTCTCAACGGAAAATTGCATATTGGGTGAAATTAGTCCCCTTTGATCTTTGGCTTTGTGGCATAACAGCAATTAATGTAAAATAAGTACAGTATGTACACTGAGCATTGCGAAGAAGGGAAAGAAACATGTATATTAGTCAAAACTCTAAACACTTTAGGAGATTTTTGTCTTTGGAAGTAAACTTGTGATCATATTCCTGCTGCTTTGTGCTTGAGAGAAGGTGAACAACTCGTTAAAGTAATTTTAAAGACGTTCACTAAGTAAGGCGTGTGCACTGTGGTGTTTCACAGTGCCAAACAAGCCGAGGATTTTAATCAGTTGCCATAGCTCCCTTTAGTTACTCAGCGCTCTCATTCATTAAACGTTTGTTCCCTTTGCAGCTGCGTGTTGCCCAGTAGAGGCTTTCAGATTGACTTACCTGTAAAACATAGGCAGACAGCTGTCATCCAGTTTTTAAACACATCCGTTAATTACAACAGAGCAGAAGCAGCTGGACATTCACACTGCCTAAAGAGGGCTTAGTTGGAGGCTGATGGACTGTTGTACTTAGTGATGGTGTCGCCTGTGCGATTCCTATAAACCTCTTGTAACAGTCATCTAAAAGAAACCCTTGGTCAAAACGTTCACTACTGACTAAATTATTTAGAACTGCCGGCAAAAGGATATATGCATAATGTCATGCATGTGAGCTTCACTTTATCCACTTGAGAACTGCATGTAATTACCCACACCAGTGTCGGAGGTGGTGATGATTTTTACAAACATTTATCAATCAGCCAGTTTGCGATTTCTCATTTGAATTAGAAGAATGTTGGAAATGTGTTTCTTTTTAACTAATTGAAGCCTGTTCTAGCTGGAGAGCTGAAGGACCCAGAGCTTGAGGGATAGTGAGTAAAGAGGTAGCTAGGATAATCATTCAGGGATCCTTTTAATATTTCCTTTTATTCATGTGTGATGTTTTCAAAACGTAATACAGTAACAAGCACACATTTATGTTCTGTATTCCCTGCTAGGAATTTTGTCTGCTATTTTTGTACAGATTAAGTACAGTTTTCTTTATTGACTGAATTCAAAATTCAAATGATGATAGCTGTAAGGTCTTGGAATATCAATGCACAGTTTATTGTAATGTCTGCTGTAATTAATAGGCACTAGAGCTCCAACAGTATTAATTCAGGAGTAACTCTTGAGTTTTTAAAGGTTCCTTTTAATGTGACTTCTTGTACATATTTAATGCTGGCAATGTGACAAAGCCATAAATATCCATGATGAACCCAGGCCAAATATCAGTAGAATCTAGTATCATTTTACCAAAGTGCAATAGCGTGTAACTTTTTGTTTTGTTTTTACTATTACTCTAGATCAAGCATTTCAGAGAACTGAGTAACATGGGGAAAAAATGGCAGGGTTATGTACAATGCCTTAACATCTTGTAAAGTGAATATCACCACCCTGTGTTATGAAAATACTTTTTTTTTTGGTACACACTAATTTGTCTTGCCTGCAGTAAAAGCTTCGTAGTATCTCCATAGTCAAGGTCCTGTCTGATAAGAATATTTTTTTTTGAATACGGAAAGAACCGTAGAAAAGAAAACATAATTTGGCTGAATCGGCCCACGGATTTGTTTTTCCATAGCAAGTGAGCAGAAAAATATTTTTTTAAGCAACAGAATCTATTACATTTGTATGTAACTGAGCCGCCTTAACGCACAGCAAAGTTACCCTTTGGTTTGTTAGGCAGCAGCGTCTCTGCTGTAACTGACATGTTCACTTTTGACGTGGTTGTACTTTTCTGTTCTAAGTGTGCTGAGGTCTTTGCTTTGTCCTGCAGAACAATTCTGGTCACGTACGTGGACACAACACTGCTCTGTAGACCCAGGATTGGCCAAAGACCTTAGATTCTTTCTTTTGTATATGCAGCCTAATCCTTCTGTAAATCCCAAGCCGTGGTGTACATTGCTGTAAAATAAATCTTTGAAGAAATTACTATTTCGTTGTGTCTTCGTTTATATGGAATGTAAGGTTGCATATGGACGTCAACTCTTGGTACCTCCTGCAGAGATGATTATTTTCTCATCCGGTGCAGACAGAATACAAAGACAGCTGCAGAAAATACCACTGTTTCCATTGGATAATATTTTCTCCATCCTATATTAGTGGCATATCGCTTTGCTTATGTTATTGTACATCTGACAGATTAAGGAATGCTGGAGGAAAAGGGCTGAGGGGACAGTTTACTGCTTGTTCACGTACTCAAGAAGTGAGAAAGATGGACAGAGTTTTACAATCATATTGTATTAAGCTTTTACAGACTTTGTTCTATTGTAGTTCCCAAAGGGTGGCATCTATTACATTGTGTGCCAGTGGAGATGTTTTCACAGCCTCTTCAGTCACATTTGTAAAATGTAATTGTTAAAATGTAAGCCCTGCCAAACTCTGAAGGATGTTGGTTATTGTAACTTAAAAGGCATGATGAAGTAGCAAGGTTTAACCAAATGAACGTCTCCTTATAACGCCTGGTCTATGTCGGAATGGTCCTGCTCTGTTTCTGGGGGTTCGGTGTGTCTGCAGGTTTTCTAGCGGTCTTGAAAGCACCAGCATCTGGAGAGCTGTCAAGATAACAGGACAGGGGAGTCCAACCCTGATCCTACAGGGCTGAGGTCCAGCCGTAGCATTAGAAGAAGGAAAGGCTTCAATTTGTCTAATTAAGCAAATGAGTTAAATTAGGTAATTAAGGGCTCAGGAGAAAGTAAAACTAGAAACCTTTGGTTGTGTCCACCTGCAGTCAGTAATTTAGTGATCAATTAGTACTACAATCTCAGTCTTCTTGAGACTCTAAGGATTGGGGTTATTTTAAATGTACAGATTGCTAGGTGTTTGCCAATCTTTAAAAACAATTAGACCTATAGGATTAACTGTATCGGGGCTCTCCAGGACTGAGGCTGGGGGGGTTATATAGAGTTTGGCTGCAGTGGAAATTGGTGTTGGACTGCCTTGGTCCATATGGACTGAAGGGTGCAGGTGGATGCTCAAGGTTTTCCAGGCCTGAGCCTCAGCCCTTCATTATTTGTAGTTCCAACTAACCTCTTGATTAGGTAGGTAACAGGGTAGAGATGATAAGACGTTTTTAAGAATGTTAAGATTTCTTCTAATGTTTTTAGAAGATTTTCTATTCTAAAATGTCAGTAACTCAAATATGTCTTCTTTCACATGCAAAAAACAAAAAGTTCTAATTAATCCAAATATTCAAAGCTTCATGAGATCAGCAGCAGACAACAGGACCAGAAATGGGAAGCCAAATGAATTGCCAAATAGTTACACATCCTCACCAGGAGGTGGCACTGCAGAGTGCTTTGAATGTTCCATAATACTTCTTCACAGTCTGGAGATGAAGGTCCTTTGAGGTGAAAGAAAGACCCAATAAGACTCTTATTTTCCTGGCTTTTAATTTCAGACTTTTGTTTTCTTCTCTAAATTCACCTGATAAAAGTGAAAATATGAGTTCTCTCACTTTGTACCTCGATAGAGGGTGTGAGTCAATATGATAAATATTTGGTGAGGAGGCATTTAAAAAGCGATGAGAATGAAGTTCTTTTCTTCATGTTTTTTTACTGGTAACGAACAGTATGTACTCTCTTGGCACTTCCAGGAAATGCAAACAGCACTGCTGCCTTGAAGCCATTAGACAGCCTTGAGCAGAAGCCCAAACACCTGGAACTGAAAAAGATAACACTGGGGAGACTCAATACCAGACTCATGTTTATTATCCTGAAAACATGTACAGCTTTAACCTTCCGGTGTTATTTGTCTGTTGCGTGACACCTGGCCTGTTGTCCAAAAGGTCACTACGTTGCATACTTACACTTGTCAGCGTTGTTGCAAAATAAGATATATATTACATAACACAAACAAGAGGAGACCACTGGCCCATCTGGCCTATTCGGTAGCATCTATTAGGACCTTGTACTTTATGTAGCGTTTTGAGCTCTTCGCGGCTTCAAATTTGATCTTTCAGATCACAATCTGCTTCATTTCCCACCAGATTGTTTTAATGGGAAGGATCAACCTTACATTTTGTTGGAAAGGCTGTCACATACAGTATATATGAGATGTAATAACAAGGCAGCCTGTTTATCATCGGGCTTCAAATTGTTACTTTTAATGGGGGGAAGTGTTAACCCAGATATGGCCACGTTTTGAACTAGTCTTGGAATTGGCTCAACTGGACAAATCATACTATACAGCTTTATTTCCTTTTAATGATGTACAGTATATAGGGCACCACACAGATCTTGATCCTTGGTTGAAATGTCAGGAGTAAGCTGTTTGGGGATCTTTGGGTCTTGAATAAAAGCAGGGACTTTAGATTTTAAAGTTAGACCTTTAAGCATCTGGGCTAGACTAAAGTCTTACCATTCATGCAGTCTCTGACCCAGCAGACTGGTATTACTGCAGACTAAAACAGTTACAGTGATATCCACTATCTGGCTGAAAGGTATCGAGCCACTCAGAGAGAAGGACTTGCACAGGGTGATGCAGATGAAAGAGGTGGCTGATGCCAGCTCAGCTTGGCAGCACCTTGCATTTCAACAGACATGCCTTTGTCCAGGGTGTTGTGCAACGCAGCCTGTAGACCTGAGCTGACCAGCCCTCTCGCTGGGATCCAGCAGCTTGTCCCCAGTGGTGTGAAAGCCCTACAGCACAGGCTGGGAGCAGAAGGGCTCTCTGCTGCCTCAGGAGGGCAGGCCAAAACCAAAAACAAAACACAGACTCTGCCAATGCTGTCTGAACAAGGGTCCTGCACATCACCACACTGGGAACCCAAGCTGGACAGATATTCTTAAAGCACAGATTGCTTTCCTGATGGGAACTGTGACTGGTGAGGGATTGCACATTCACAGTGATCCACTAAAACATCACCCATTGCTGCTTAGCATATTCAGGGGCCTCTGAAAGTATTTGGCAGCTTGAGTTTGTTTTTTGTTTTTTACAATGTCTTTTTTTATTTCACATAACCAATAACGGCTCTTCTTGCCACGCAAGAGCTCCCTGGAGCACTTTGTAAGTTCCGCCCAGATTGTAGGTCAAAGCCGTGCGGCAGATATATCGAACGGCAGATGAAACAGAGCCAGCGAGAGGCATCCGTTTCCGAAACCAGCGCATGCCTGGAATTTCAAAAGCGAGTTTGTGTGCTTGATGTTGGAAGAGCACTGAATCCTGTGCAATATGCCTTGAATGCATCGTTTATTCACGAATCGGAGAAATCCAGGAACGTATCGAAACCAGCTTTTATTTTTACAAGTATGGCTGCATCTGCAGAGAGGCCCTTTTGAACGAAATGAATAATGAATACTGACTTGTTTACATGAGTTGCTGGGCTGCGTTTGTGCCTGTGTGTCTGGGTGTGAACACAACATGGGCCTTGTGAACAACAGAATGTCAATACGTTAACGTGGTGCCAACTTGAACATAAGACAGATTGCAAACAATTGGACGGCATTATGCTCACAGGGCTCGTGAGTGCTAACGGGTCAATGACACAGTTCATGTGGGAAATGACAAACTTGGGAGTCTGCTGCCTACCTGACCTCATTATCTTATGAGGCAATCATGTCTAGGTGATCGTGTCTCTTAAAACATAGCTTGTAACTGAAACAAGTTCGAGGTCTGTTTTTGCTTATTATGTTTTATATACATGTTTGAAAAGGGAAAAAGAACCTATATTGCTAAAGAAAGGTGCGATAGTAAGGCTACCAGCTTTGGATTTCATTGTTTTGTTGCATTTCTCACCAACATGTGAGATAATGTGATGGACTCACTGCCTGCCACCTCCCTCCCTGCATCCTGGTGTGGTAAAACATGTCATTGTCTTTGGAAAAACCTCAGGTCGTCACCTGTGAAAAGTCCTTTTGATCCACTTTAAATATAACACCATAATATGTGTTCTTTGTAGCCAGAAAAAAAAAGTGCAAAGAAAAGAATATTCCAGTTCCTCTGGGCTTGTAGGGCCTGTCCAGGGCCAGGACTTCACAATATCTCACACGACCTGTTCTTCTTCCGCGGGTGTCTTGCCTTCCTGATGCCAGCCAGAGCTACTCTTGTGGCTTCTTTGAAGATGTCCTCCACGTTCTCCCGGTACTTAGCCGAACACTCCAGGTACATTTCAGCGTTTATCTGGCGCCCGGTTTCCTGACCCTGCAAGCGCAAAGGAAACTCTTCTTTATTAGACTCCTGGGGAAACGCGCACGTTTTATAGAAAAAGAGGAAGCATGCCTTTGACCTTTTCTTTTGACATCTGAAATTTGGACCTCCTCTCAAAGGACATTCGGATAATCCAATTGCCTTATTTCTGAAGAAGTGTCGAGCGTTTGAAAACAAGCGTTACACAATGAGAGTTTGACATCAACCGTTTCACAACAAGCGCTCGTCAAAAGTAGCTGCACCTAATCTTGTAAGATCTCGGGAGCAAAGCAAGGTGGTGCCTCGTTAGTACAGGGCTGGGAGGCCTCTGCAGAAAACCAGGCAACTGCTGTGAGCCAGTAGGTGGCGCTCTTCCAATTAGGCCTGAATTTCCACAGCAATGTCCCAGGACGGTGACTGGGGACACTAGATGAGACCTTCACTACTTGAGCATTAAAGATGCCATAAGTCATCCAAGCGGGTGCTGCACTTCAGTGGTGGGTGAAATGGATCCCCATCTATAGGTACAGTGCTTTGGGATCATTGTGGCTAAAAGTGCTATACAAATGCAAGCAATTCTCATTATTATTGACAGCACCCTTTATGGGCACCGATGAGAAATAAATCAAACCTCGGCTTACTTAAAGATTGTTTCTTCCATGCCACTGGTGAGTTATCAATAGATCAAGACCCTTCAACGCCAAAGCAATTCTGCATGTATATGTATATAGAGAGAAATCTTTGTTCTTGGGTATGTTTGTCTATAGTTAGGCCTCCTGGGTGTCTCTTGCCTGAGCACAGGCTGGGCTGTGTGATCCCAGGTTCGAGTCTGGCCCAAGTCACTGAGGTTAGGGTACGGTTAATCAGCCAGGTATTTCTCGGCTCTGAGCCACACAGCTAGCCCTTCAGCCCTCTGGGCGCTTGCAGTCCAGTGCAGCTGCTGGAGGGACGATCATCTCCTCCACGCGACACCGAATCTCTGTAACGCTGCTGAGAGACACTGCTAAAAGACGAAGGTGGTTTGAAGGTATATGGGACGTGACATTCTTCCTTGAACATGGTCTTAGGGTTCATTACTGACAGCTGAGATGTGAAAAAACAGACAACTGGCTATTCCATTCTGGTGTAACAAAACAATTAGCAGTTCTAAATTTGATATATATATACTGAGTGTGAATATGATCTGTACCGTATACAGACAGACAGACTTTACCTGTATATAAGTTATAGGAGCCTGATCCAAAGCTCTGAGCTTCCTGGTGCGTTCTTTATCTTTCCGAAGGTCTGTTTTGCATCCAATTAGGATAATGGGAACCCCACGACAGAAGTGGTTGACCTCTGGATACCACTGAAACAGGACAAAGTTTGAAATTTATTACGGATACTCAGGGCATTTTAAGTTTTCATAAGCACCCTTCACACAATTCCCACCTCCACCCCCATCACTTTTATTTTCTACAATCTGCTGTGACTCAACTACTGTTTTCTGCTTCCTCTGTCAAACTCTTTATCGAAGAGATTCCACAGCCACTCAGCTCTTCTCTCTCAGCTGCTGAGGTGAAATGAAGAAATCGGTAAAGGGAGCAGTCTGGTATCACTGTTTTTGTTGAGGATCATTATTGGGATATAAATGAACCCAGTTAAGGTCCCTTCCAGGTGGAACATGTTAAAGGCAGTTTGCACAACTTCCATAAGCTGAACACCTGCACTTTGGGAGGACAAACCATAAGATCAGTCTGGACCATATGGATCCTAAGAGCACAAGATGTCATTGATAGAGCTTGCAGAGGTACTAAATCCCTCTTTTCTGTATCATGAAGTGGATGTTGACATCTCAAGGCATACTCATCACAGGGCACATCTCTCAAAGCCTGACTGTGATCGAGTATTATTTGTTTTACCCGTTACTGCACTGGTGTCGTGTGGTGCGACAGACAGAACAGTGCTTGCTTCCACAGGATCTGCTCAATAGTCTGACAGCACGTCTAAAAACTGATCAGGCGGGAGCCCAACATAACACAATTTTGAGATTATTTTCTGGGATCATTTTGAAGTGCTTGAACTCCTCATGACTTTCATTATCTGCTCACAGCAGCTCGGCAGCTCATGAAGCACCTGGCCATTTCTCCCTTGACGTGCTTGGCGTCAGTATCTGCCCATTACATTCTCACTACAGGAGTCAATTGAATGAAATTCCTATTGTTGCTTCCAAACTATTGGAAGGATCCCAAACTTAAAGCCTTTTAACATCACAAATTAGACAAAGTGACTCATACAGGCTATCTTACAGCCAGCTTACAAATGTTAACCTTGGCGGGTCTGACTAAGATGCAGCAGCTACAGTAGCTGTCGACAAAACATTCCTCTTTTCCCAGCACAGGGGGCCTGGCAATGGGGTCAGCACACCCAGATTGTCTCTGCATTCCTGAGATAAAGTGACACCAAGCTGCCTGACCTTGCAAGGTAACACTGAACAGACTGTGCTACCTGGAACAGGAAGCATTTCCAGTAATCAGACACTTATTTTCACAACAATTAGCTTGAAAAAAGCCAACTCCAGACCCCAAACCCCTAGGTATCTACAGTATATGAGCTTAAACGCCCACTTATGACACATTAGAAAAATGAAATGTTCACTTTGATGATAAATATTTTGCAGGGCTGAAGGCGCACAGATGATAGGAGACGTCATAAACAGTGCCTAACAATCTGGAAGGCAGATCCGAATCATATCCTCAGCTCTCCTGTGGCTAAAGTTTAACAACCAGGGATACTGTGAAGGAGGAGTAGGGGGGATTAGCACTGGTGATGACCTCCTGAAATTCCACAGAAGGTCGAAGAAGATCTCTTCCTGCACCATGTCTTTTATCTGCACTTTCAAACTATCTCACAGAAGAAAGAAGATCAGTCTTTAACCTCACTTGATGTTACCCCATTGTCACAATATCGTTATGGATAACAGTTAATTGCTACTCTTACAGTAGAAACTGTGCAAACCTTTCTGAGGTTTCTCCTCTGCCTCACTGGTTTTCATTGTGTTTTTTCCTCCCCAGTGCACCACACCATTTATCTCTGTCTGGTTTGGTAGACACAGTCTGTATTTTCTCTTGCCTGGTTTTACAGACAGTCAGGGGCCTTATTTTAAATCCCTTCTGTGAATTTAAACAGGCCACCATGTGCATGTGTGCATGTGAACATGACTGGGTGACCTGCGATAGGTTCCCTGCATTAAACCGATCAGCAGCATCTGTCCAGTCATTGCCCTGCCTGCAGCAGCTGGTCTTCATCATCAGCAGCTTCTTGGAGGATCTTGACATGAACAGCATCTGGCAATAAGGACTGTTGAAGGAGTCTGACGTAATAACTTCCCGAAGAAGTACAAGCATTAAATCTGCTGCTGCTGGGATATTAATAAGGGCTGTAAATAATTGACACCTTTAGAAGGCTCCACAGCCCAAACGTTGTGCTTCTTTTCTTTACCTTTCAGCAGGGAATGAACCTTTACCAGTGTTCTGTGCAGCCTATGCAATGCATGCTGACGGAGCTATCTACTTATTAACATATTAAAAAGGCTGTTGACTATGTTGACACTTTGTTCTGGGTGAATGAGGATGACCTCCTGTGCCCCTGTAAACTAGTCCTGCGCTCTGGCTGGGCTGTGCTTCATCTTACTCACATTCATTCCCTATCTCGCTCCTGCGCTGGAAGACATCGAGAACAATAACAAGGTGTTAAACAATGGCGTGGCTTGAAGCGTTGAGATGGAATTAAGCCCTCTGTCTTGCATGAGGTCAGAGCCTGGGTGGGCATTTACGTTGTCAGTTGGGAGAAACTGGCCTTTGTCAACCAGATACAAAAAGACCCTGTTTAGCTCTTTCTGCCTCCCCTGCTACACCTCTGTCTGGCTGTTGCTTTCCACCTTCTGGAGCTACACAGGGCTCAGATGACACACACCTCAAATGCCAGGACATGAAAAGGAGCTGAATGATGGAATTAATCAACAGGGTATCTCAACTGTCAATAGCAACTTTGCAAATGCATCAATCACCTAATGCCTTGTCAACCACAAAAACACAACCAACATCTAATCTTTTAAACGCGCCATCCACATAACACTCTAGTGAATTGTAGGGTGGTCCCCTATCTACATACATATCTCAAAGTGTGAACAAAGAAAGATTACCTTGATTAAGACATTGTCAAAGCTGGTGGGGCTAGTGACATCATAGCAGACCAGCACCAGGTTGGCATTCTGGTAGGAGAGAGGCCTCAGTCTGTCATAGTCCTCCTGGCCTGAAACACATAAGACACAGGAACTTGTAGTTGTGAGAGCATTTTTTGAAAATGAAACCTGGTTTATTAAGAAGAACCAAAGGACTCAAAAGGCTTAAACATATTTTGACAACATCCCCAACAGCTGGGCCAAGAGTAATTGACATTTAAAAAAAAACAGAGCCATTAAAACTATTAAAATCAACAAGGAGTCAAGTTTCAGGCTGGTATAGGAATGACAATATTTTTTATGGCCTGAAGAGACTGATTGAAATCACATAAAATCTCATAAAAGCTAAAAACCTTTAGGATTTTATCCTGCTTATTATTGATCTATTATTTATTCTTGTAAATTGAGGGAAATGAGGTTCCCCCTCTCAGCAGATTTAGCAGCACACTGTACACTTCTTATTCTTTAGACATCCTAGGCCTTCCTCTCAATTGTCTTCAGAGTTCTAGACCTTTTCGGGACACTGCGGCACAAGATCTGCATCCACGTGCTCTTCCAACTCACGAAGACGAAGACATGAGCGTTCTGCTATGGCAAAAGACAGCTATACTGCACTACATTTGTTATCAATGTGAAATAAGCCATGTGTTTTAGAACAGCCAAACGTCTGACACTCTGCAGAATCATAGAGTTCTCCCTAATATTTACTGTTGTCAGAAAATGGATTTTCGTCAGGCGCCAAACAGATGGGATCAGTTGCTGCTCATTGCTGGCCCAGTGGGGGAAACTGTGAAATTTCTTTTCAGCTCTCATATCAGTGTTTCATTCACTGATTGTGTTGTCAGTACTCTTTATGTGTTTCACAAAAGCTCCATTGTGAAATAAGGTAGCAGGAAACATGCCTGGGTCCTTTGATAGAAGCAGAAACAGTTATTTTAAGTATAGCACTATTTAATAGAACAAACCTGAATAGATGTTACTTTCCTACTGAAGGTTTAAGTAACTAGATCTATTGAAATTACTGTGAAATGCAGAAATGTGGATGGTGCTAAATTGTGTTGAGGTAGAAAGCCACAACATCCTGCTCTGAACTTCCTCTTCCTGCAGTCTTTATGGTCCTGTGTAACAGTTTGGCTAAGATAAGCACCATGAAGGGAGAGTACAACGTGCCCAGAAGGCTAGTGAGTTCTCCAAATGCTGCTTTGTTAAACTGCCCAGCAGTTTAAACACTTACAACAAAATAAAAAAAAAAAAAAATATGTTGACAGGCTTTTGACATGTTACTGTATCAAAAGATAATGAGTTGCAGTAATGAACTAGTATTTGTGAATTTGAGAAGACCATAATCTTTGTGACCTAAAAACTGGCACACTCTTCTAATAACAGAAATACAGTTCATCTTCTTTTGAGGCTATATCTCCAGGCCTGCTTTCTGTTTTGCAAATCAGTACTTTACTTAGAATGTAAAGTTTACAGACCATTTTAGAAAGGCTCAGATGTCTGTAGAAATGTTAACTTCTGTGCCTCTGGTGAAGAGTATTAAACTATTAAATGGAAGCGTCTCGTGTATATTAACTTCAGACAAAGACCTGGAAAACAACCTGTACAATATGCTTTGCCACAAGTCCACTGTTCATCTGATGTGAAATTAGAATGTCTGTGTGTGAGTGATGGTAGTAGTTAGAACAAGTCCAGAGTAGCAACATCTTCCTGAAATCCCTTATTTTCTGGAGATTCCTGCTAGACAACCACTTTTGTTTTGCCACTATTGTCATCTGCTGCAATACCGCAGAGAGTCAAAGTGCTCAGAAGCTACATTCATTTCTCTGCTCTGAATCTAGACACTTCATACCCAAGAGTACTGAAATGAAAACAAGTTATTGACTGGATTTGAACTCTGTGGTTGTTTCTGAAATGTTCAATTAACTGTGTCACTGGTGATACAAGTCTCACCCTTCCTTCAGACCAGCCGAACAGGTCAGACGTTTTGAGTCTGCTGCTGAGACACAAATGTTGCCGTTTTTCTCTGTGAGCAGTTGAAACCTTGGAGTGGGTCTCCCTGCCTTAGATTAAAGTCTGAGCCTTCACAATTTAACATATTTAATTTAACATTTAACAGTTAACAAGGACTCAAGTTGACATTGAATGACATTGAATGAGATAGAAGAGGTGAAAATCAGCTTCCTCAACTGTTTCCTTATTTTCTCAACTTCAACACCTGCCCTGAGGAATTTAGGGGAGCACTGGTTAGGGTTGTAGTGGCATGAAGAGAAGGCTGTGGGTTCAAATCCCAGGTGATCCACAACGACTGTACATTTGAGCAACATACTTGAATTGTTCCAGTAAAACAATCCGCTGTATACGTGGGTACATCACGTCAGATAAATGTGTCAACACAAAATACTATTAAAGAAAATGAAAACGATAAGTTACAAAATACCCATGTTTTATTTCTTGTTCAAGTGATGAAACATCTAACACACATCTGTATGTCTTTATGAAAGCGAATGAAAAGAAAACCTATAAACTGAGAACAAAAATGTCAAAGGTCCATCAGCAGATAGGCTGTAGACCTCAGCTAGCTAATTTGAACTAAAGTCACATTTTCAGGTGCCTGTAAACTTTGGAAAGGTGATCTTTCTCTGTGCAGCCTTTGCAGGAGGTGACAGCAATAATCATTGCGGTTCTGCTGCTTCAGCGGATGTGCGTCTGCGCCACATCCTGCCAGCGATGTTTTGCCACTATTGTCATCTGCTGCAATACCGCAGAGAGTCAAAGTGCTCAGAAGCTACATTCATTTCTCTGCCCTAAATCTAGACACTTCATACCCAAGAGTACTGAAATGAAAACAAGTTATTGACTGGATTTGAAATAAGAGCATGTGGTAAATACCTGCACCTCTTTTGCACCCTGACATATCTTTGTTTAAACCACAAATTGGTCAAGGTGCAGCATCCAAACCTGGGAAGCGTTTGAAAGGAACAGTTCGTCAAATTCCTCAACCATGCGTTGAAGCCCCAAGTACTCGTGAGATCCGAGAGGGAAAATAGCAAAGAACAGTAGTTTGTATGAACACAGGATGATCAGTTTTGCAAACAGTCCTCATACTGGGTAAAGTTCTGTTGAGGTGTTTTGTGGCAAACAGAAAGTTTGAAAGATGGTGTGAGCATGCATGATTACAGAGAAAACATAAGGAATGAAAAGCAACTCATAGGGCAGAAAGCTATCATATCAGTTTACTACTGTATGTTCTTCTATTAGCATAAAAGTTTAAAGTGAATTTTTAGGACCTGTGTGCACAGTGTATTTTCACTGTTATAATGACTGGTGATCTACCTAGACCCTAATTTAAGTGCTATTGCCAAAAAGAGCTGAGAAGGCACAGAAAACAACCCAAATGTAATGATGTACAGATGTGTCAAGAATTGACAAAGTTGGAAAACTGAAACACCACCAGGGTGAATGATAAGAACACAATGGATTCTTCAGTAAGACAGTCTTAGTACTGGTTTACTGGTTTTGTGGATATCACTCAGGACCATGTTCACCAGACACAACATACTGTATGCACAGGCAAACATCTTGCACTGCATAGTATAGTACGATGTGCTGGTGCCACCATAACTGGATAGAATATAATGTTTCAAAAAATGAAGTATTGATCATGACTGTTACCAAAACAGTATTGGCATCAACCATGATCAAAGTGAAGAAATGTATAATTGATGCAGGAACCACTTAACGACACAGACAAAACCCCCTGCCACCACAGCAGATACTCCAAAAACTGAAGTCACTTGGCTGAGGGGTTTGTTTCAACAAAGAATTAGAGGCGTTGAATAAATTCACCTAATGCGTGATACAGATTGGACAGCAAGCAGCAAAATCTCATTGAAAACCATCTAGAGAGCTGGACTAAAAACAAGAACTTTGGCTCTGCTCATTTGTACTGCTTGTTAAATAATGAAAATTGCTACACTCAACATATACTGTAGCATTTTTGAGAGTAAGATTTATAACAATAGCTGATACGTTGCTGATTGTGGTAGTTAAAATTAATAAATTTTTGTCTACTACCACACTTTATTCGGTTTATAATCAGAAATTTTTCAGATCTGGTTACTTAAGTGGTTACGAAATAGAGCGCGTGCATGTGTGGGGTTTCTCTTTAATGCGTACGCCTACAAGACCTCACCCATGCCTTTATTTTCTGCTTCTGCATTCCTTAGACTGAGACACAAAGCTCTACTTCAATGAAACAATGCTTCTGCAACACAGAACACATGTCCTGAACAAACAATCACGGCTTTAAAAAAAAAAGCTGGAAAAAAACCCTTACCTGCTGTGTCATACAGGTTCAGATTAATTTCCTTGCTTCCGAATCTAATCGTTGTGACATACTTCTCAAACACAGAAGGGGCGTATTTCTGTTAAAACCAAAAACAAAGAACAGTGGATGAAAAGAAAGAAAGTGTACAAGTACGAAATGAGCCTATTTTTGGACTCTGTTCATTAAGGAGTGCCCTTGATTTCCTAAGGGTTAGAATGTTCTTGGTGTGGTGGAGAACCAATGATAATCAGTAAGACATGTAAAACATTCTCAGCAATGACGTGGGATTTAACAGCCATGACATGTATTCACCAGTAGCTGAGAGATCCCACGCAGGGCCTTTAGACACTACAGAGATAAAAACAGTTTGTTACCGTGAGACAACTAAAAGGTGTGTGTGAGGGGGGAAGGTGGTGGGCTTGTGGACCTTACTGTGGCTACAAAACAGGAACGACAGGTTCCCTTCTCTTCAAGATTTGTATTTTTATGGAAGCTCTGTGCACTCAATAAATTGCAAATGAAGAATTCAAGGTAGAATCTGTAAAATGGTAGTTTCTGAAAACCTGGCTGCACTTGCAAAGCTGCCTATTACCTAGCACTGCTGTAGTGTGGGCTATAGCTTCCTTATTGATTCTGTGTCTGTGTCAGGTCTGGTTGAGTTGCTTAGTGAAAATCTAATCGCTTTAAAACAAACCTTACCTTTCATTAACTTTTTTATCCTGGCTTTTCACTTTTTCTTTTAACTTTTTTTAACAACTAACAGAAAAAAAGAACTTATCGTCATACATCATGCCTTTGGACAGTTCTTCAAACATGTTTTAAATGAAAAACACGCATAGGAAAAATGTATAGGAGGAGTGCTTTTGCACCACTTTGCAATTATTTCCAGGAAAGTGGGATCTTCTTTTGCCTTACAGCAAAAACCACCCAGGTCAAGATTGAGGTCAAGAAAATGTCCTTCAATCTCCAAATCCATGCAGGAATGCATGTAGTAATAAACCAAGGCTGCAGTCTATCACACTCTCTTGTAATGTAATATAATGTTTTTCTCCTTCCTGTGCAAAAAAAGCCCCACCAAAACCCAAATAATAAAATATCTCATTTCCCCAACTGATTAGAGTTATGAATCCTAAAATATTCTTTCAGCTTTACAAGAGTACAAGTGTGACCTTGTGTCTGTGCTAAACAAAAATACCTTCGGAGAACATTCTACTGCACATACAGCTGCTGGGGTTGCTCGGGAAAAAAACCCAGAAGAGTTTTGTCTTGTGATGCAAATTTCTGACATAAGCATGAAAAGGCAAATAAGACAAATTGCAGCTGTGAGTGTGGTTTCATTAACATTTTCAACTACTTTTGCCAGCACTGTGCAAATGAAGTGACATCACCACTTGTGAGGGTGATTGTTAACATTTACTCAGGGGAGCAGCTTTTGCTGTGGTTGATGTGCCTCTGAAACGGAGACGTCATGAAACGTCTACTCTTTCCCATTGGAAATGTGGTGCAGTGTGAGGACAGGGAATGGCCATCTCAGCTGCTGGTAGCTCTGGAGGTCTGCGGCTCTGTCTGGACTGGCAAAGAGTGTGTGACTCACTGGTAATTGGTTTGTAGGTTGATAACTAAAAAAACAAGCTCACATGGGGAACAGAAACTCCATGCAAAAATTATTTCTTTCTTTTTGGTACATGAATTCTAACTCAGGAGAACTGTGAGTCGTTCCCCTTAATAACAGGTGCACTGATTAAAAAAAAAACCAAGATGACCAAATTATCTGAGCCACCTTTACCACAAAAGGGACAGATTTATTCTTCAGTATTTGGCATCCATTACACATCCAGAGGCAGCTGCTGTTTTGATGTTTTTAAAATCTTACGTCCAGGCTTGTTGTCTGACTTTGTAGCTATGAATAATTATATTAAAGAGTAGAATTATATATATGCACCAATACACCAATATGAAACATTAAAATGAAGACCATATATATTATAAAATAGCATTTTGATTGTACTCAGTACTTCACCTGAGATTTCCTCTTATTTCTGTTACATAAATATTTATACAGTATTTCCATGGGCATCTCTAAACTACACTGCTTCAACTATCATGTTTTCTTAAGTACAGTATTTCCCACATTCTAAGCAGCTTGTGAAAAAATGTCAAACCAGGGGAACTACCACCGGGCTGTACTCTAAAGCCAATAGGTAAGAATTATGCAATTTACCTAATAAAACATTACTATCTTATCTACTTCTACTACCATTATTTACAATTTCCTTCTGGAAATTCAGCCTTCTGACAAGCATTCTGAATAAAACTGCTTTTAACACATCATAATAAATGCTGCGAAAGGTGAATGTGATTCATCGAAATCTTTTAGTGTTCTATAAATAATATGAACCACGTATCAGGACTTTGTTCACAATGTAAATATCAAGATAGAGACTGTTGTAACATTTTTAAAGAAGTGTGCAATTTTGGAGCTTATCATGATGACGTGGTCTGAATAAACAAACACACACATTACCGCCTAACAACAGAATTTACACCTATGTTCACAGAGCTATCAGTGTACTCAAAATAGATGTAAGAATTTGTTACACCCTAATAAGGGATATTATGTTAAATCATTTAGTGCAACAGTAGTCACAAGAATGACTACTATGGTGTAAAAGCAGTCAGTTAGCGGCATAAGTGCTCAATATTTAATTAACACATTTTTCTACACGTTTATACTTATTGCTACAAACTACATAGCAATACAGTGTTTACCAACTTTACCATGATCAATTTGCAAGGTACATGGATTTACTGTGCACATACAATGCTTTTACTTTGTTTTACCAGGAATTCCCACAGTATTTTACTATGACTATCATAGATTCCACAGTGATTCCACAAGCTTCACTAACATGTCCCTACCATGGTACACCTGGGCAAACCTTTATAAAGATCGGGACAGAGCAGTGTTAAACAAGCAAAGAAAGCACACATACTGTAGCACATCATAGAAAAAGGACCAAAGCCAGGTCTAATAGAATTATTCTGATATCTTTAACCAGAGTTATCAGTTTTCAATTTGAAACATGACCCACCAGCCAGAAAGAAGTTTAAATATTTGTTGAAGACGTTTAAGTAGCTCACGCATGAAGAAGGCTCCACAGCCTCCACTCTTTTCTTTCAGCATGAATTAAACCTTTACCTGTTTCACTACATATTTATTATTGGGCATGACTCACAACCCTGCATCGATCATGCACACACCTGATCCACCTCCGGACAGACCGCTGTGGGATGTTCCTCTCCTCTTCCTGGTCAGCCACAGCCAGTTGGCCAATGATGGCAAGGGCGTGTCTGACTCCTGTTGATAGCCCTGGCGAGGGGCTCACACAGATCTTCAACTGCGCTCAGCTTATGAGAACAGGCCGGCCATCACAAGACTGAGAAATTGTTTTCTAGACGTCCTGCCATTCTAACCCTAGCGCTATGTGGCCTTGCATTGTCCAACTGAAAGAGAGTCTGTTCTGGTTGGGCTTGTAGATATGGAAAAATTGTTGGCTCGAGTTTTTTGTCAACATATCACTGGGCAGCAAGTTTGACCTCAATCTGCAACAAAAGGCTTATTATATGAGATTCTTCCCGACATCATCATCTTTCCATTTTTGTTTCGGCTGGCTGGTTTGAACAACACAACAGTGAGCACAACGCTCACCACATGTTGTCCCCACGTGGTCTTGTCGAACACAAAACAGATTGCATTCGTGAAAAAGACACCGTGCCACACCCCCTGCAACTAGCTTAGATATTCTCTGGCTCATAGAAGGTGTCAATGTCATCATTCACTTGTGAAAGTGTTCCTCCTTAACAGCTTCCGAGCATGCAGGTCTTCACCAGATGAAAACATACAGTTAATTAATAATAATTGCTTACACTTATATAGCGCTTTTCTGGACACTCCACCCAAAGCACTTTTACAGGTAATGGGGACTCCCCTCCACCACCACCAATGTGCAGCATCCACAGTTATTCTGCTGATGTGCAGGTTATTTCTTCCTGAAGCCTCTTGTGCTGCATCCACTGTAGTGTGAAAACAATTTCCGTAGATGGATCAGATAGTTGACAAGGCCCAGGGCTGGCTTGGTGAGCCTGCTGTTTTCCAGCACGAGGTCTTCCTGGTTTCTCTGAAGAGGTTTGCCGATTGCTGAAGCACATCCTATTCTCTGTGCAATGTATCTCGCAGACAGGCTGCCGTCTTTCGTACTGATAGAAATCAGACGATCATCATTACTCGAGTCAAGGGCGGTTCTTGAGTTCACACCATTTCGAGAAACTATTTATACAGATTCTTACAAAAATTCATTTGGGTAATTTTTACTCAGGTCTTCTGGCATGCTCCAGTTTCTCTTCATATCGTATAAATCTTTTGCCTAGTATTTTGTCATCCCAAGACACAATACTATCCAAACGACAAACAGTCGTACTGGTGCATTTTTCTCTGAGTATCAGTAGATGTGAAAGCGAATGCAAAGTCTACACCCCTCTGCCAGTGAAACCTCTCACACATGGGACAAACTGTCTGGCTGTTCTGTCACTCCCTGCACTCTTCAGGACGATAGGGTGTGGTCTTTATTCCACAAAGTAATCAAATCTAGCTTGTTAGAACATTCTAAGAAAAACATAAGACACGTTAACCTATACCAACTGGCTTTGTTACAGTATATACCAAGTCACCCATTTTGTGTGATCAACTGTATTATAAATGAGAGGAGAATGAAAGGGACCAAAATCACTACTTAAAGACAGTGATAAATCTGGCAGGCCATCTGTTTATTTCACTTTTTGCTGTCTTGTGGGAGAGTCTGAAGTGTGAAGATTTTATATTAGTTGAATCTCATAGCTACATCTGTGACGCCCAGTTACGTGGGCAGTAAAGATGGACTTCTTTCCTGAATTCATATGCAACTGGGAAAAAATGTGGATATTCTGGGTTACTGTAGCACAACAGAGATTGCTGAACTTCAAGAGGGGCGAAGGTGTAACAATACTAGACAGGCATCAGACACTTCAATCTAATGGTGTCTGATACAAATAGAATCAACCCTGTTTTAAACTGCTCACTTCTCTTTCTCATTCCTGGTGTTTTGGTAGACAGGTGTAACGAAACAACAGGAAAAAGAAAAAAAAAACATGACCGGCATTACCTCTATTCCGCTGGAGAGTAAACATCTTTGACCTACACAATTCACCCATCGCCAGAAATGCTCACTCAACAAACCAGGTGAAAAGCACAAGCATGCAGTTTCATTGTATTGTTCTACACTTCTAATGAACATACAGCAGACCGGGGATGTTCACTCCTAGTCCTGGGGGTTTAGTGGAACACCTAGTTTTATAGGCAACTCGTCATCCTCAATGAGTACAGACCTAGAAAGTGCTATACTCCAATTAATAAACAACTGATAGAAAGAAGCCATTGAAGTGTGGAATACATCACATAAGACACCGCGACCATCCAGGACCAGTAGTGATTTTCAGAGCAGTACAGGGCTGTACTTTTGTTACCACCCTGCACTGGCAATTCTCCTGCCTGCTTAAAAATGGAAATATCAGGGCAGACCATAAAGATGACCAATTGGACAAGAAGAAAGTCGGATGACTCTTCAAGTCTAAATGAGAGTCTTAGTCAGGAGCAGTCTAGTTAGGACAATGAAAACCGTGGACAAGGGCAAGTTCCTGTTTCTGCCTTACCTCTGGGAAGTCTCCCTTAGCATACACCATCAGCAAGGACGTCTTCCCACACCCTCCATCCCCCACGATCACAACTTTGAGCTCCTCGTGGCCTTTGCTTGTGCCATTGCTCCTTGCTGTCCCATTCTGGGTCATTTTGGTGTTCCGTTAATCCAGTCCCAGCAGCACAGATGGGGCCCAGGAGTCTATGGTCCGTTACTGTCTGTGAATCTCGGGTAGCCCGTTCATTTAATCCGTCTCACATGGAGATGAGAGCTGAAGGAAGGCTTTTCTTTGGAAGAAGGGAAATACACAGAAACCCACAGATGGCACAAAGGCGTCCAGGTAAATTTGTCATAATCGTGGTTTCTTCTCCTGTGTAGTGTGGAAGACCAATGTCGCAGCTCTGGAGTGTGGTGACCCTACCCAGCTCTGACAGGAACCTGTAGTGTCTTGCAACACGCCTTCCTCACTCTGCTGATAACCAGCGCTCTCTGCACTGCAGGAGGAGAACGCCAGTCCTCCCGCTAGCCTGCAGGAGGACAGTTCTGTATTTGCATACCGCTGACGAGCTCTGAAAGCTTCCTCCCTCCTGGTGTGGGAAACTAGGGTTGATACCTGACGCAGAATGAACTCTGACTGGATTCGGGCCGAGCCCAGATCACACAGAACACCCACTAGCTCCTTCAATAGTGTCAGCACAGCTCGTGTGCTGCAATAAGTGTTACACCGGTACATGGCACATACTTCAGGGAAACAAAAACAGTTTTCTGAGAAATAATATGCACCAGAGACGTTCTAGTTTTTACTGGAAATCAGAATTTCAGAGAACAATCATTGAACACAGTTTGGCTCCTGTTGACATAATTTATTTAGTAATTCAAAAACTAAATGACACAGCATGAACCAAAATATACAGGCACATAGAAAATACATGTTGCTTTGAGAATGAAAATACGGTGTTTACCATTTTTAAAATTAATAACAACACATTTTTTAACTGTTGAAATGAAATTAATATTTAGCCCAGTACTTTAATTGTTTTAATAGTTTAAAGGGTAGAAGGCTGTGAGGTATCTCTTTATATATATTAAAAAAAAAAACACTATTTCCTATAATACACAGTGTGAAGCTGTTGGGCAATTTCATTTACAGCCACTACCCAAGCAGGTGAGGTTATATCAGGGCAAAAAAATCTTCAAAATGTGAACCACCCAGTTTTGCTAGATTTAGTAATAAGATAACCTAACAGCACAGGCAGCTCCCTTCTCTTTATTACTGTTTCCACCTTTACGTAGAGCTGGAAGGAGAACTGTATGGAAAACTCCAGCAACACGTGAGTTGTTTATTATTACAGAGGAGAAAAAAAAAGAAAACGTTTCTCAGGCATGGGATGAGCACTTCTTGGGACATTTTTTTTCTCCACATTTCCTAGGCAGGGAGGGGCAGCCCCTGATATTGTTGTTCTCTATTAATACACCCCAGGATCAACATACGTCTCACACTAGTCCAAACACTAGTTGAAAGGGCAGAATTGTTTATTCTCACAACTACCAACAATTTTTTTACATCAATGCCAGACTGTTACTGAGGTGCACTTTGGACCATTGGACTGCGTTTATACGAGATATTCAAGTGAGATGTGATAATTGCGATCGTTCCTTGCCAAGGTATAAACTTTGCTGTACACTTCTCGTTGGCAACGCGCAGAGCGCCTGTAACCTCGTTTCTGTAAAGCGCCTTAACTAAAGCTCCGCGTATGAAGTCCAGGTCAGTCCTGCCATGCCACCTAGAGGAATGAGACCAGAAAGAAACCTTCGGCTCCCAATTCACGCATCGGTAGCCAACGTTTTCTAGGACGCTCATTTATAAGGAACGAAAGCAGCTGGGAAGTTACTTTCAACGGCACAAACGCAGCACGAACGAATGAGACCGGTCCGGTTCCCCTACGACGTTGTAGGGGGGCTGAGTGACGGCACCTATTTATATATCTATATCTCGGGAAAGAAAGCAGGTGGGAAGTTAATTTCAACGGCACAAACGTAACACTAACGAATGAGGTGGGTTTCATCGTTTGTGCTGTCTGTACGGGGGGGCAACTTCACGGAGCTCATTTATACACAAGCGTTCACATGAGGAGCAACACAGATCCGTGTAGCTGTAAGACTGTACGGCTGGAAGCACTGTCCCCTGGATTTCCATCAGATCTCCACTAAAGACACGGTCGCTTAAGTGACTTCCTGCTGCACAGCACCAGACGCACGTGTTTCTGGGGGATTCGGCCACATTTGGGATCTGCGGGGCAGTGACCTCCCGAGTGCGGGGCTCCGCCGTTTCCAGGTTGTCGCCCAGCTGGGAGTGATTTTATTTTCCATTACTCGCACACGACCAGAGAAGAGAAAAAAAAAAACGAAGAATGCAAACAAACATATTTTGCATCAGCGCACACTGTGGTAGGCGGCAAACACGTTTTACAGTTCAGCCCTGCCCAGGACTTTCGCTGGGGATGGACATCAGAAGTTCACAGACCCGCTGTTTCTTCCAGTCCCGGGTGCCGACGGAGCGTTAATTTTGTTCTGGTTGTAGTGCCAGCTGTGTCCCTGCCAAGTCTCCTAATTTCTCAACAGGAAATTTCCAGAGCAGCCGAGACATTAGGACTGACATTTTCTGATGCTCAGAATACCCGTACCTTCAAATCAAACTGAAACCTTGTCGGTTTGTAAATGAGTTTGCCTTGTGTTGCAACGCAGTCTGCCATCTTGAGTACTGGTACATGAAGTACAATAGCTGCCTCTTCCTGCAGGATTTTTTTAATATTGCAACTGCAGCGATAACCATGTAATAGTCTACTGCTGCAGGAAAGGTCATAAATCTGTTCTGATAAAGAGTTTCCCTTAATAAGGCACAATTACTGAATAGTGTATGTTTATATCGAGATGTTGGATTCCCCTGTTTATATTTTTCAGTCTACTTAACATATTAGAGAATGTTATAAAGGAAGGAAACTACATGGACTAAAAAAAAATCCGATTCACACACAAAACAGTATACAGTTTAAGGTTTGGCCACAATTTTAGTCCTTACAATTTCCACTGAAAGATCGATTTTTGTACACTACAGAAATAACTGAAGAGCGTTAAACAAATAAGAGATGTGTTAAACTTCTTCTAAAAGTTATGTAAAAACACTTTTTTTAACGTGCAAGTCACTACAACACAAATAAGACAGGAGTTTTGGTTACGCGTACAATTAGAATAAGATCAAATATCTGTATTTTACCAAAACTGTACACTTGCTATTTAAACGGTAAAAACATCGCTTACAAAAGCCCATGTAAAATTATCGCTACACAGAAAATTTAAAGATCTGCATAGTTAGACGTCAGTAATGTCAACAGCTCCATTCCCCTCTTGAATATGGCGCTTCTCCTCTCTAAATCGCTCAGCTGCTCGGACCTCACCCAGCTCCGAGCTAATACTAGCGGATCTCGCCGACATTAAAAAAAACGTCTTAGATTGAGCGGGTCATCACTGTAGAAAGCTAGTCGAAGCTATTTTTAGCAGTGTTCTCAGCACTCTGAAGGTCTCTCGTTTTTTATCGATCTCCTAAACAGTCTTTTATACGAGCCTCATTTACTCTGAGGCACACCAAACAGAAGCCTGTTCAGGCCGGTAACTGCTGGTCTTTTGATTCTGGGTCTACTTCCTAGTCACGCCGAATCCAGCCCCATGCTTTTGCATTGAAATCGTTTCTTTCGGCTTGCGCCATTATCGTTAAGACTTACCGCGCATAATCAATTGAAAAGAATTGTATATTTATGTTCTGTCCTATGCAGACGCACACAAAACAATAAATGTAATAATACTAAACTATTTTATATAGTGCCTTTAAAAGTCGTTTAGCAAAGCGCTTTACAGTAAGAAATGAACGATGATAAGAGATAGCAGAACCAATAAAAAGGTATGGTATAATGCGATGTAAGATCAAATAAATTAAGTAAAAGCCCTTCAGAAGAAGGTTTTGAGTCTGGAAATTGAAACCGCCAGGTAGGCACAGCTGTCCCTACCGAGCCGTCCTTAACAATGCGAGTTTTTGTGTTCAAGACAGAAAGTCAAGTTACACTGAAGGCGCATTTGCTGGTCCGTCTGTATGTAGCCTTGGGTGTATGGGAAAGCACCAACGCTTCCAAAAAAGGTCCTTTTAAGAGCAGGAAGGGTCGGGTGAGCTTTGTTCCAACATAAAAGCAGATGCCAAGCTCGGCCCTGGCGCGTCTGTGGAATTGCGCACGGCGGTCGCGCCGCAGGAGTTACCAGGAATGAGCATTGTGGAGACTTTAACCAGCTCGGCCCTGTGTACTAGACAAGGTCTCGGTCTTTCAAGCCACCAGGGGACACTTTGTTAAATAAAAACTTAAAACAAAGACATTATTAAAAAAAAACCCAAACCAACAAGAGGCGACATGCAACTCCCTAGACACTGCTTATCCTAAAAAGAAAAACAAAATGTGGTCTCGAACCAGCACACAGGATTACCCCCATGTCAAAACATCCACGGATAACAATTAGAGCGCATTCTTTCCTCTTGCTCGCAAATCTCCTTTCATTGACCAGAGTACAGGAAAGGGTTCTGCAAACCATTTCTACATTCGAGCTGTGAAATTCACCCTGCAGATGAAATTTGCCGTTATCGACAGAAAAATAAACATTTCACCATTCGTAGTGGAGTTGTTTGTTTTGTTTTTTTTAAACTGGAGCGTGGGTTGTCGTGACTGGAGTACTGTGGAAAAACAGTCTTCCCTTTGATGTGTGGCGCAATTATTTCTTCTGCGCAGATTTACCTTAAGTATAATAAATGCACCGGGGAGAAAAAAAAAAGAAAAGAAAATGGGCATAGTTCTCTGAAGATTCCCTCCGTGTAGATTGTGCTTGAATGCGAGTTTAAAAATTGCTTTTCAACCTTATATGGCCGAGAGCGGGGGCTGCGGTCAGCATAACGCAGGAAGCCGCTGGCAGGCGGCCAGATTCTCAGATTACTGTAGTTTGCCAGATCCGTTTCGAAACAGCTGCAGCAGCACAGCGAGTCAGGCGAGGATTCCGCAGCGCCAAATGGCTTTTCATAATGTCGGCTGTAACCTGCTTTCAACAGCTCCCTCACACTACACATTTCAAAAAAAAAGAAGGCAAAAAGATCACCACAAATGTACTTCGAATGAACATGAAAAAATGTGGAGATTTCAAAGCGCTTCCATTAAGACATAAGTCCTCACCCAGCAATGGCGCAGCAGTAATTCCAGCTCAAAGATATCCTTTGTAAGAAGAAGCCATTTTGAAACTGTGATTACCACAGGAGCCATTAAAAGCACAATTCATAAACTCGCTTTTGGAGGGGACGTAAAAGGGGGAAAACAGTCTACAAACGCTTGTTTACCCCCTAAAGATTTCTTTTAAATGATTAATATTATTTCACCTTCGTCTACACGGACCATGTTACTTTATACTAAGTGTAAGTTTTTAAGATGTCATAAAATCATTTGTCATAAATGTGAAGTGTTTTGATCAGATATTTTTTAAAACATATAATGTAAAATGGTATTATTTCTTGATTTCGTATAATTTGATCTAAAATAATAAAACATTATATTCTCTCAGAAAATGGATTTATTAGCAATGAATGTAAATTTTGAGTTCCTCAATTTAGCTTATATTTCATTAACTATTGCATGTGTAAATCACAGGGAAAAACAGCGAATTTATTTTTAAAAATGAAAGTTTATTGTTATTTAATGCTGGACGAAATATTTTTTTTATTTTCACTTTTTATTACAAAAATGCTTTATTACCTTGAAAAAAGAAAGCTGTCCACTTCTTACAGAAGAATAGTCGATATATTTAGCAGTTACCTTCGAATTGATGAGCGAAATGCTTTTGACTAGAGCCTTTAGGAAGAAGAGGAAAGGCATGTTTGCATATTACTGCTTAAACAGATGCTACCAGACAAGCCTCGGCATTTTTTTCATGGTCAGTGTGCAGTTTCTTTTAAAAAAAGTTTTAGATTGAGACGGATAAATAAAAAACGAAGAATTTTAAAAGAAAGCCATTTTTTCTTTTTATAGGCGTTACATCCCCTCCCTTTGTAAAAAAGCAACCTGTATTTTAATGGATCCGAAGATGGGAATGAAAATGTTCCTTTTTCTTCAGCGTATAGGCCTGATTAAAACATTGCATCAGAATGTTAAGGTAAATATTTTTTATGTGTATATATATATTGATATTTATCTAAGTGGCTAAACCCCTTGGGTATTAACATGTGATGCAGCTTTTTTGTCAATTTAATTGAAGTACAAGTATGAAAAGATCATGGAAAGTCCTGACAAGTACAGAAATAAAATATGTCCTTGATGCAAGGTCAAAGAGATTTACTTACCTTGTGAGCTGATAAAAGTTCATTTTAAAGACATAGTGAAATGAGATAATTGATTTTCATTATGTTGAAAGTGAAATGTTACTTATTTTAGCCAAAAGTATTGTGATACCACTATTTATTTTAACTTATTGGAGAAAAACAAAATACCAGAGATAAAAATGGGTTGTCATTTTCTTGTATCCTCAACACTAAACGTCTAATTTAAAAATGTTGTTCTCCCAAATATTATTTTGTAAAATTACTGTTTTCAAGAAGGGGAATAAGACTTGAGCTGCTTTGGCATTGTGTAAGAAGCCAACAATGCCTGTTGTTATGCTTTTCTATCATTTGCATTTTAAATCGTGGCCTGTTGATTTGTTTGTTGAAACATGAGAAGCTATAAGTTGTTTGATTAATCTTTAATGGAGGAAACAAATTGCATGCAGACAAAATAACTGAAAAGACAATAGGTACATAAATCATAAAATATTACCTTTAAAGTATAAATTCATTGAAGCATATGTTCTTCACCAAACTACCTAGTGATGACAGTTCAAAATTGTGAGTTATTTTAAACTGAATTCATTTGTAAAGAAAAGAATAAGAGAAAAAACTTACACAGAGCTACATCATTACTTGGCCATTTTAGTGTGCACTCAGAAATGTTGTGCAGTTACAGCATTTGTTGAACACATATTGTTGGATTTGACCCTTAAAAGCATATTTACAACATCAAAACCTAAAACAAGCTTTTTTTTTTATTTACTAGATTTGACTTCTGAATTAAAACTGCTGATATATGGGTGTGCCCTGACCTAGTTAGGACCAAGATGGATTCCAGGAAGAAAATTAAAAAAAAATAATCAAAGGGATAACATCCAACATTTTTTATCTTCATTCTTCTTAAATCCTTTAAATGATGGCAGACATTACAACACACTGATATAGTCCATAAAGAGATGATGAAGTCAAAGATCCCTTTTGGAACAAAGGAGAATCATATATTAGCCATTCAGTTCCATTGCAGAAAAATGGCTGCTTGAGCCCTTGGCCTCCTCTTTGCTGTCTGGTGAAGGATGTCTCGGCTCAGCTTCTAATAGCAAGAGCTAAAATGGTAGCTTCGATCTGATTGGCCGTGGGAACACACTGCTGTTAACCAGCCAATTGCCCAAGCACTGCAAAATATCAGACAATGATCGCAATGGATACCCCAGTATCGCATACACAACAGCATACAAACATTTTTAAAACAAAAAGAGGTATAATGCAACACGTTCGTCAGGCTGCACGACGAAAAAGCAATATGTTAGCTGCTTTCTGATTGGCTCCTGCGACCTGAAACGCTTCTTTAATAAGTGAAATTAACGTAGAGTTAAGTGTACTCACGCTTCCTTAAAACTAACATAGTATTTTACAAATGCGTTCGTTATTCCCCTGTGTTTTTTTTTTAAATAAGGAAAATACGGACACAATATCACTGGGGACTGGGTGGATTATAACCCGGTTCTCTTTATAGCCTCTAAAAAACTTGAGCCACCTATGTCCGTCTTGTTGAGAGGCAGTTTCCCCGTTTGCGTAAATCTAGGCGGTAGATTCAATGCGTCGTGGAAAGCCGGTGTTTTCGGCCAAACGCGCGATCAAGCGCAGAAATTATATTAAAGTGCTTCAGAAAAAATAGAAATCGCCGATTCGCTGCGCCTTTTGTGAAACAGGAGTATCGCACGGCCGAAATATTTGTCAAATCCGAGTAGCGAATGTGCGTCTGGAATGTAAGGCTAGGTGTTAGTATAGTGGTGTATTGTGGGAGAGACAGAAAGCGACCAGAGAGGCACACAATATGTGTTGGCTCGCAAAAAGGAGGCAGGATCCTTTAAAACCATGTAATGTAATCAGGGAAATGTAAAAGATCTCGCCGTTTTGGTAGAAAAAAAGACTCGATTGGAAATCTACACAATGTCCAAACCAGGAGAAAAGGCCAGGTTAAATGAAGACCACGGCAGAAAGCAGAGTTCAAGTGAGCTTGCTCTCTCTTTTTTTTCTCCTCTTCTTCTTATGTCTGTTTCGGTAATGGGGACCAGCTTCCAGTCCCCATTTTTTCGACTTAACCCGTGTTTATGTGTGCAAGCCAGCAAGTGCCGTTCATCATTTCCAGCACATCTGTTACGCTTTCACCTCGCCTTGTGTTCCCCTTTGCAGGTCTGGCGAACGGAATGGAGCACAGCAATCCAGTGTGCAGTTCAGGGGAGAAACGAAGTCACCATTGGAGAAGTTACAAGTTGATCATTGACCCAGCTTTGAAAAAAGGACCGCATAAACTCTACCGCTACGATGGACAGCATTTTAGCATGCCCGTGAGTAAACTCCTTTTTTTCAACACTAAGCCCGGAGCAGGGAAACGGGCGCTTTGTGCAGGTTAATTTGTTCGCTACACTGAAATGTGGTGGAAAGGCGCTGAACTAGTTCGCTACACAACACCTGACACACTGCATCAAAATGTCACTGTGCTGTTGTTACAAATGTTTCAGCCGGCTTCCCGGGTCACAATGGGAATGGCTACACTGGCGGTTGTTTTCAGGCTAACGCGTATTTCAAGGGATACTTTGTGTTTTTTTTTAATGCAGCTTTTAAGTGGTTTTTTCCTCCCCCTGTTATTTTTATTTCTGCCGCCGTGTGGAGATCCGGAGACATCACGTCCATCGCACGCATCGGAGCTACACTCAGTTTTTTTTTAACTTTTGGGATTCACCTTTTTTTTAAAAATATATATATATATTTCTTACAGAATCCGGGCATGCCACCCGTGGATACCGTCCGAGACCCCAGGATCGGTCGGTTGTGGACCAAGTACAAGGAGACAGACCTCCCGGTTCCGAAGTTTAAGGTAGACCCGGGGTGTCACACCCCTTGCTGAGCTTGTCAGATGTGACAGGCGCTCGTCTCTCTTCCCGGAGCCGGTCGGTTGGGATTTGTTTTGGCAGCAGCCCGTTGAAGGGGGCTAGACGGTCGTTTTAATATTTCGTTCAGTGTATTTACAGCCTCGACAGTTCCTCCGACTGGTTGTTGGCATTTATACGTGTTCACGTCTACAATTCTGAAGGCTGAAGGCAATAGGATGAATGACGATTTTTTTAAAAAATAATTCTGTTAAAAGCTTGCTTTTTGGGGAAAAAAAAAGAAAACTTCGGAAAGTAGCAGGTGCCAATTTTTAAACCGAGTTGCGTTTCAGACTGTTGTTTTTTGTTTTGTTTTGTTTTTAGACATTCCGTACACCCCAACGGTCCTTATCTTGTGCTCTCATCTGAAACCTAGGTTTTATTTTCATTTGTTTATTTCATTTACAGATCGACGACTGTTACGTCGGCCCCGTGCCCCCGAAAGAGGTGACCTTTGCGAAGCTCAACGACAACATCAGGGAAGGGTTCCTGACGGACATGTGCAAGAAATTCGGAGAGATCGAGGAGGTCGAGATTTTGTATAATCCGAAAAACAAGAAGCACTTGGGAATCGCTAAAGTTATATTTGGCACAGTAAAAGCGGCGAAGGAGGCCGTTCAAAACCTCGACAACACTTCGGTCATGGGAAACGTCATCCACGTGGAACTCGATACAAAAGGTATGGCCTGCATCATATTTTTGTTTCGTAAAAATTAAATATCCCGTTATGATTTGCAGTCCATCGAGACGAACCCGGCCCATGATCGATACTGTAAAAGTTATCAGGTTGTGTACGTTCTTTCGAGTCACGTGTAGTAATCTACGTTGTCGGTTGCTAGGTAACTGGAGTAAGAGCCGTAGTTGTAAAAAAAAAAATCCTCCTACCTGGACTTTACTTCTGGGTTGCAAACGGAGATGAGTACAGCTGTATAAATCACGTTTAGGACAGTTGCCGCTCAAATGAACAATAAACACCAAAACTCGAGTACAGTTTACACGTTTTGTAGAAGTAATTGACTGTAAGCACTAGTTTAGAAAATGTAAACTTGGCATGACACAGATGTCCAGGAATGCCGACGACTCCCTGTCAAATAATTCCGTATTTTAGGCAGTGCACATTAATTATTATACTTAATTAATTAAATGTCATACCATTGCTTATAAAAACACAGTTTTGAGTTGTGCGATAAGTATTTTGACCTTTTTGTTATTTGGGATTTCCTTTAAAACTCATCAATATTATTTTTCCGCTGTGCATGCGAAGTGCCCTGGTGATCGTTCTCTACAGAATTAGTTTTGCACAACTTTGAATTATTTGTATTACTTCTCCGAATGTGTTCACGGTTTAATCAGCCGACGAGCAGTTACCGCCTTAAAGAGACAGCGTCTCTCTTCCCGATGGATACTTCACAGATCGCCAGACGAAATGAGGTTTTCTTAACTTCCTAGTTTGTAAATCAAAATTAAGACAATAGGTTATTCAGTGGCAACCATACATATTCCATCGCATTGCCAAGCATTAAATAGATTAAATATTAATGCCCTTTTATGTTACGTACTGTAAATAGATTAATTCATTTTTCATAATCTGCCCTTTATTGGCGCTGCTTGTATTGAATCACGTTTTAGTTTTGTTTAAACTGATTTTAAGCCTGAATGCTCACTTTAATTGAGGCCAGTTAATCGTACATGGTCCAAGTATACAAATGTAACAAGTTGATTAAACTTTATGGAAAAACTACATCGCTAGTTGCAGTGTATCATAATATAAAACACTTGGGAAGTTGAATATTATAACTTTAAAGTACGTTCCATTTTGTGTGAAATATTTCTCGAATCCTCTTCTGATTTATTATATTTGAATGTCCACGTTATGTGTTCATATGTGTCAGATATTTAAAAAAATCGTTATTTATTCATGCATATAGTGATTGTGAAATTATAGAATTTCGTGCTGTTAGAAATTTTGTTTTATAATTGCACTTTCACGCCCTATTTTGGACATAAAGGCATAATATTATAAATTTTATTGCTAATTGAATTTAAGAGCAGATGGTATTCAGCCACTTTAAAAAACGTTTTATTATGTGGGTGTGGCATTCATACCTAGTTTTGCATCAATTCCTCCATCCATATGACTTAATTAGCGATTCTCTAGTCTGCATAATGTAGCAGTTACATTTGTGACCGATCAGTTATGGTTTATGGGTTTTACTATTAAAGTGACTGTCTTCAATCTTGCTTGTGCATTTGAACTGTCACTTTGATTATTTTAGCCAATGTTTAAATTAAATGACTATGACTGTGATCTGTAACTACCCCCCTTGTACAGTCTTTCTAGGAATACCTCAAGTTGTCAAATGATTTGTACATATTGACCAGTGTCAACGCAATTAAGGCACAACATTTTATCAGATATGCATGAACAGAGATGAAAATTAGAAAAATAATTAAATACTAAAATGAATAGAAGTAATGTAATAAAACACCTTCTTCTGTTTCTAGTTTTTTAAGAAGTCAGCCTTGTTTGGAATGATATGTTTAAAGTCTGCCACCAAGCCAGTGACAGGTGTACCTTTTCATCTCCGATGCAGAAAACAAGATTTTCACAGTCAAACATCCCCTCTGCTTTTGTGCAGGTGAAAATCGCATGCGATACTTTGAGCTCTTGGTCAATGGTATATACACCCCTCGCACACTGCCAGTAGGAAATGAGGATTCCCGTGACATCTCACCACGAAGTCTGAATGACACCGCTCAGGTAAGGGCTACATGCTTTAATGGGGAACTCCATGTTTCCCCGATTGTTTTATCAGAGAAATATTAGTGGCAAAAACATAACGTGGATTTTCGCTGTCTGGGTGACAGGGATGTTTGGTAAGAATTTGCAGACAAGGTTCTTTTGAGAGTGTGTCGTAAATGTAAAGCTAATAATTGCTCATGCTTATTTGAGTGATGCTTTTATCCTGAAGGACTGCACCAGTTTATACATCGAGGTATTTCACTGGACAACCGGGGTCACGTATCTTGGCCAAGGGTACAACAGCATTGTCTTGCCTGGGACTTGAACCCACAACCTTCCAGTTTAGTGTCCAGAACCCTAACCACTGCTCCACACTGATCTCGTGTATAAGATGTGTCATTACAAAGCTTCCTGAGAAAATCGAAACAGGCTGATACACGGAGAAGTTTAATATAAATATAAATACGATCATTTGTCTTTCAAATGATTGTCATATTTTAATTGTATGTAAAGACCTCTCACTTAGAGTTCTCCTTTGCTTCGGTTTGAGTAATTCAAAAGAAAGTTTTAAATCTTTCAATTAATTTCTTTTCCTGCTGCAGTCTTTTTTCTGCAGTATTGACATTTTTGGTGGAAGGTCTCTTTCTTTAACCAGTTTCTTTGGTGACCTTTTCTTTTGCTTTCTTGAGGGAGAATAAAAATATTCTACGAACTGGGCTTTTGTAAAGGTAGTTAAGGGAAGTTTTTAGAACCCAGATATTTTAACAGACCCTGCAAGACCAATCAAGACTTTGTTTCTTAATGTGTTGTCCCGGCAGGACAAGATCTCTGTCTAACTAGCTTCCAGCTGTCTTGCCTTGATTCCAGCTACCTAGAGTCTGATATCGTTTTGTGAGATTTTAGAACACAGACATATTGAATTCACTTTTAGTCACAATCCGATTCAAACCACGGTTTACGGAGTCAATAGGCGGGAGAAAATCGACTTAACCTCCGACACTGTATCATCTTCTTATTGGAACTCTTCTGAAGATCAAAGTTAAGGCAACGCACCAGTGAGTACCAGTAGATGGGAGTCAAGAGTTTAAATCAGTGCAGAGCAAAGCGCAGTCTTACTTGTTCATTTGTTATTGTTGGGTTTCCTCTGCATTGGCCATTTTCTTTCTCTTTTCACTTAAGTTGAGTCCTTGGATCCTTCCCGTAAATGTAATTAATTTGTAACCGTTTCTTTTCCATGCAGAGGCTCCTACAACCCATTCCTCCTGTTCAGCTACATCTGTCATTGTTTGAATGATGTTTTTCTGTGGTACAACATTGTGCGCTCGTTTGGCTGTTTGTTTCGTTTTTCAAAAAAACAAAAGAAGCAGTTCTAGTTAATTGCAGCTCAATTTAATTTTTAGTCACAAAGACAGAAATCCTCAAAGGCAACAGAGGAGATTAACCCTTTAATTAATTGGGTGAATGTAACAGGAGCAGGTTTCTCAACCTGCCAATCAAAATGCTGCTTTTTTTCCAGAAGTGCAGATTTGTTACCCAGAATCAGACAAGACACCCGATTTCAAAATGCGACATGTTTTGTACTCTGCGCAGTCCATAGGCCAAGTCTCAGTTTGAGATGATAACATCACTTTTTTCAAAACTCCAGATTGTTGGTCGTATTGAACAGTAAAAGCTCATTGATCGCTGATCGTGGGTGCCAGCCTGCATCTGGTCACTAGCACACTCGCTGGGGCTGCGCCTGTGGCGGCTCGTTGTTTGCTGAGCTGGGTGGGATGGGGGAGGCCAGGACTCCCCTGGCTCACAGCGACCCCTGTGGCCCCCCTGGGACACTGCAGGCATGCGGTGCTGTCTGTGGGGGGGGCACCCCTCCCCCTGTCGGGCACAGGACGGCGCTGCTTTGAGGTGTTAAAAGACAGGTGGTGCGAAGAGGGGCGTGCCGCAGGTGTCTGCCTGCACTTCCTCCTTTCCAGCCGTTAATGGAGATGTGACCAACACCATTGGCAACTCCAAATGAGGTGGGCAGGACAAAATTATTTCACAGTTGCGATTTTTAAAGGCTAATTCTGAAAGCCGATAGAATTTAAAAGGCTTTGGGGATTTTAGATTTTCAGTTTGACTTTTCCAAGTTCCCACTGTTTCTATCTAATCGGAATCTCTCTGCATTAAAAGGCAACGTGTTTGCCACCCAGCAGAACGGCCGTGTGTTGGCTGCACATAAACGGTTTTCAAAAAGCGAAAGAAGCTTTCTGGTGGCAGAAGTGTACGCATTTGTTCCCGGTTGTTTTCTGTCTCTTCCACTGAAGTTTATTTTCGCTTTCTTCAAACTGCTCTGAAGGAACCCAGTTACTGCCTGCTCTGACTTAAAAGGGAAGCTTGTCCAAGATAAGGGCAAGTAAGTGTGGAGGACTGTGTGTTCCTGCTGGGGCCTGGAATGACTTGAAACTGACAGGCCTATCTTTAATCCTGTTTATCATTGCAGCGGGTGGTACAATGGGGCCCATTTTGGGATGTCCGACAATTCCTTGTTTTCATCTGCCAGTGATAATGAGTGTAATAGTTTAAGTTCAAATTTTACTTTGATCATCTTTATATGACCGCTCTTGGCATGATAAGCCTTCTTCAGCCTCTTGCTGTTGGATTTTCAGCTTAACTGTTTTATTTGATTCAAATTGTATTATTGCTAATTTTTTTTAATATACCCATCCAATATAAAATCCCCAGTATCTTTTGTCACATCTCCACTCCACGTTATAAGATCACTGCAACTGCTTAGATCTTAGATAGCTTTATTGACCACGGCGGACCTTGACTGAATGCCTTTGCGTTGATTTATATTAATTTGATTTTCAATCGAGAAATTTTGAGGATAAGTCAAATGCACTCCTCCCTTGTTTTCATTGGTATTTAAACTTAAGTGTCGGCGGGACATTTCTCAGTCCAGCAATATCAGAGTCTGTAATTGCAAAGTGCATAATATAATTGGTGTAGAGGTTCTTAGGCTCGTCAAAACCTCGGAAAGCAAAACCAGGCAGGTGACAGACTTCTGTTACGGTTATTTGGCTGGATTTCTTTAGTACTGAACCAAACAGAAGCTGAAATATTCATTCACATTCAACCTGATCCGTTGTTGCACAGAAGTCGTTGAACAGTATTGTTTTTCCTTGCCCTGTCGCTGGTCTCGCTGGCGTGCGTCAGCGCGGTGCAGATTGAGCCCAGTCGGCACGTGACTCCTTTCTATTTTGTCCCCCCCACCTCAGGCTGGTGAGCCCGCCAAGCGTCTGTCTGAGGGCAGCTCCTCGGCGGTGGGCAGCTCGGCCACGCCGAACAGCAGCAGCACCCCGTTCTCGCAGGACACAGCCTACTCCAGCTGCCGGCAAGACACGCCCAACTCCTACGGGCAGTTCACCCCCCAGTCCCAAGGTACACCGCTCACCCCCCGTCTGGGGGGTACCCCCTTCTCTCAGGACTCCAGTTACTCCAGCCGGCAGACTACCCCGGCGTACCAGCCCAACCGGGCAGAGAGTTCCACAGGGTACAAGTCCAGGAGGCATGAAACCAAATTCCAGGACGCCTACAACCGCAGGCCTGAGCGCCATTACGTCCACAACACCACAGGGCCCTACCGGGGCTCGGAGCAGACGTCCTTCTCCAGCCCGTCCTTCAAGCCCCACTCGGTGCCCGCCGAGCCCACGTCGGCTTACACCCACACGCACACCCCCCCACCTCCCGTCGCCCACCCGGCCTCCTATAAGTCAGCCTTCTCCCCGTATCAAGCGCCCCCGCCCCCCGTGTATCCCCACACGGTGGAGCCGCCCTTCCACCCGACGCCCCGAGAGCAGGACTACAGGAGGCCCGCCCCCCCGCCCGCCGCGGAGCCCTTCGCCCTCTCCGGCGCCAGCGGCGGCCTTGACTTCGTGCCGGTCAAGGAGAAGCCGGAGACGCCCCCCCTCCCCGAGCCCCCGCCGCCGAGCGAGTCTGTGGGCGCCGCGCCCCCGGGCGGCCGGACCCCAGAGCGCAGCGAGACCCCCGGCACCCCCACCTTGGAGTCGGAGATGCGCAACAGCCTGGACTCGCGGATCGAGATGCTGCTAAAGGAGAAGAGGACCAAGCTCCCCTTCCTGAGTGGGAGAGACTCGGACAACGAGATCCGCATGGAGGGCAGCCCCATCTCCTCCTCGTCTTCCCAGCTCTCCCCCATCCCCCCCTTCACCGGCAACTCCCAGCCTGGCTACCGCGGGCCCACGCCCACCTCGCGCCCCTCCAGCACTGGCCTGGAGGACATCAGCCCCACCCCGCTGCCGGATTCGGACGACGACGAGCCCGTCCGCGGCACGGCCTCCCTTGTTAACCGATCCGGGGCCGCGTCTCCGGCTGACTTCAACGGGCAGCTGGGGAAGACGGACTCGTCGGAACCGAAGGACTCCGTGTCTGGAGACCAGACACCCACTGCGGAAAAAATGGATGTGGTGAGTTATTCCGTACTGCCCATCATTCTTAGTTTCAGGTGGCTGTGTGTTCATTATCTGCTCCTTTGGAATTATCATTGGAGCGTTGAAGACTTATGAGCCATTTCTTTTCCTGAGTGGGGGAAAAAACACCCTTAAGAAAGCAGTGTTGTAAAAGCTTGTTATAAAGCAAGAGAATCGCACACAGTTGAAAGTGCACTGAGAATAAAGCCTGAGAAATCCAGTGGTGATGTACGGAGGAGAAGGTGACACGTTCACAGTGCGAAGCTCTTGCTGAGAGAGCAGACTCCGCACAGGGGGCTCTTGAAGTAAGTGTCGTTATACCAGCTGCCTGAAACTAAGGCCTTTGTGGTCTGACCATGTTATCCCAAGATGCGCTGCAATGTGGTTAATCTGATGTAACAGCTTTTAGAGAAAGGAAGGAGGAAAGGTAAAGCACACCGATAAAATCTCCACCAGTGCTGTGTCTCGGGGAGAGCACCTTCAGAGCAGAAGAAAGAAGAAAACATAATTCCTGCCTTTTGCCAATCGTAAAGCTAACAAAGAAGAAATTGATTTATTGCCTCAGTCCCCTTAAGCTTAGTTTTGGAAAACGGTTGTTATTTTTTATTACTTACCCATTGCCTTTTCCAATGCATTTAGTTTCTTCATATTTTGGAGCAGCTTTTAAGTCAGAAATGTTTCAAAACATTCACCTACAATGCCTTAAACATGTTTTATTTTAGCTCAATTACCATTCTTGAAAGAATAATATGACGCAGAGCTTAAAAATAAGAATGAATATCATTCTTTACCAGCAAGTATTATTTAAACGATTTCCTTCTTTGTGTTTCTTGTGCATACAAGTGGGTTAGAGTATACAAGACCAAGAGCAGGCTGCTGTGAAAAGAGTTCATTTATATTTTAATAGCAGCACAAAGGAGACGTATTGAAGTCTGCAGAAATACAGGAAAAACCAAAAATAAAGTCTTCAGTTTCCTTACATGAAAAAAATTTATTCATCCCAGATGCTCTGCCCTTTTTCCATTATAACTCAGTATTTCAGGCATGCAAAATGGTTGTTGTAACTGTATGCATTCTGTAAAAATTAATTACATTTTGGGAAGCTGAAAGTGCATGTGTTTTATCCCTGGAAATTAACGGACCAAGGAACTGTAACTCTGCATCTACTGCAGTTAAGAATCTCCATGTAGTTTCACACAGTTCCTGTTAGATTGTGTAGAACTTTAAAGCAGTGATATTGATTCCTGCTCCTGGTGTGTTGCAGAGCACTAGGATTAGCAGCTATCTTACAGTTTATCAATTAATAAAGATCTGGAATTAAAGGGAGTATAGCCCAATTAAGCAAATGACTTAATTGGAACCAGTTATTAAGAGTCCAGAGTTATTGAAAACCAGGATATATGGTGATGCTCCAGGCCAAGGATAAAATATCAGTGCTATAAAGAATTAGGAGGGAAATTCACTTTTGTGTTAAATCTTAAACATATCATTACCATTCACTCCAATAGAATTATTGGGAGGAAACACATGACAGCCCTTGCGCTGATTTCCAGTTATTCATTTCACCATTTATATACTTTTGAAGCCAGATTCAGTTATTTGTTTTTATTGATGTCCATGTATTTGGTTTATCTCTTTCTCCCAGGGTGACACATAATGGCAAAAGTGAGATGAACAGAGAGCCTTATTAATTTTGTCACATAGACCATTAAATAGAGTGGCAGTTTCTAAAAGGGCGTAAGTGGGGTTTGCCAGCAAAAAACAAGCATGGACGACGGTTTTGTGAATTTGTTATCGCACCTTGGTGATCGCTCTGAGCTCAAGAGAGCTGTGTATTTTCGACCACAACATTTCAGAAACTCTGTGAGGGGGGAGGGCTACACTCTGATATCATTGTGAAGTTCTTAGACACAGTGCCCCTGCAGTCATGTCTCTGCAGACTAAAATGTCTGTGATGTCCCCTTCTGGGAAGCATACAACCAGTACACAAAATATATTTTCCAGAAGGGTGGATCTAAAAGCATTTGTGTATTTGTCTTGCAAGCTTGCAAGATGGCAGCAAAGTCATACAGGTTTAGCTGGACTGGGTATACCAAAATATCTCTTATTCCCCTCATCCGCTGGTGTCCCTGAGCCAGGAAGGCTCTGTATGGTACAGTTCCCGTTCCTCACGGTTTTCCACTGGCTGTTTTGTGGAGACAAACAGAAGCCAACCCATAAACTTCCAGCCTCCCACTGGCTCAATAGCTGGCATGCCAGTGGGCATGGTAAGTGACTTTCATCATTCCGTTGCTTCATTCAGCACATTAGAGAGGCAAAGAGTCAGTTTCCGCCCTGGTCTGCTGTAGTATTGCGATTTCCTCTTGTTACAATCTGGGAAGATTCCAGTAGTCAAGAGTAGAGCTGGAGTCTTCAAAATGAAAAGGTGCGTGTTCAGTTTCAGTTGTTATTAACTATAATGTACATAAACCAAATAGTGTATAAAAAAAATGAAAATTAACACCAGAGTTGCGTAAGTGGAAAAGGTGTATTAAAGTCAGTGCAGATTTGCAATGTCATGAGGTTTACTCGCTGTTTAATCAAGGAATAACTTGCAGGTAGTGATGAGCTTGGCATGCATGGAGGTGACTTGGATATTGGAGCTGGTTGCAAACAAAGACTTGATGTGCAGGCAGGTGCAATCAGAAAGTTTGTATAGGTGTCAAAGCCTTGTCCTTCTCAGTGTGTTAGCTTCAGCCTTGAAGTAAGAGCTGTGGGAGTTCTCTAGAGCAGCAAGTTGCATTTGATGAAAGGCGGAGTTGATTTTTAGCACTGAAGCATCTCTTCTCTAGTAGCCTGTGTCTTGAACCACAACATGGTTCAAACACTCAAGTGTGGGGGAGGGGTGCTCGGGCACATACCTTTTATTTGCCCTCTGAAAACTGAGAAAGTAAGAGGGGTGTCAAAGAGCTCTTGCAGTGCCAACACAAACAGCTCCACTTGGGCAAAAAAGATTTTCCATAAAGTTTGTTTTGGTGTTTTAGTAATCTGGATTATTTGAACATGGTTAGTAAAATAACCAGTTTGCTTCCTTTACTGTTTACAGTTTGCTGTTGAAGAGATAACAGTCCAGTGAACAGCCTTTTTACAGCCTCAGTGCAAAGTACTTGTGAAGTATGAAATGCAAAATGTTGCTTCTCAAAGACCTGCTGCACGTTTGCATTTGACTCAAGGCGCTGAATTCCTTTCTATATCCTGGTCATTCAAAACATTCTAGAGGGGGAAAAAAGGTGGCTCAACTTCTACGTGGTCTTGTAACAACTGTAGTTCTGTGTTGTGTACTTTTTTTTTCCTCTTTCTTTGGAAAGTAGGATTGCAGTAAGACTTTCATTTTGCTTGTTGGACTACAGAAAAAGAACTCTGGCAGGCCCAAAGAAAAGCTTGAGTCCTGGAGTCCTTCAAGGGCATGCCAGGTGATCAGAGCATCAGACTGTGCAGGAGGAGGACAGTGAAAAGCAGTCGAGCACACATACTTTGAGATTGATTGCTTTCACCTAGATACTGGAGGTATGGATTTGCAGCCTCTGTGGGTTTGCGGAGAGAGGTTTGCACACAGTAATCAGTGATTTCAGACCTCCGTGCGATATAAATAGCTGTCACATAAAGGAGCTTCATTAAGCCCGCTTGTTTATCTGGCGTAGACTAATTTAGGTTTTTAATTTGCCCTTATCAGTGAAATAATGTCAACTAAGAGATTCGCAATGGTAAAAAAAATCCCCGATAATGAAAGCAGAGTAGAACAGAGAGAGTTTTCACTGTTAAGGAGTAAGCTATGCTAATTGCGTCCCGCTGTGCTAATGAAGTGAAAGGAAGCAGAGTGCAGAGCGGTGTGTGGGGAGGCGGTGTCTCTGCTGTGGTGAAAGTGTGTGCCTGGTTTTACTTTCGTTTCTCATTGCATCATGTTTCCTGGCTCGGCTCATGCGAGCCCGTGACCAGGCAGATGGAAAGTTGTACCCCATGGCGGTTTTACAACAAACCAGCGAGCAGTTTTGGTTTTCATGGCCTGCACACAGAGCTCCTGTTCACTAATTTCAACCCCGTAGAAAAAGGATCGTTTTTTTGTTTTCTGTCTCATACCACAAGATCATATGCATGGCTGCGTGCATGTCATTTGTGTTATTTTTCTGTAAACAACGCTTGACTCCAAAAAATAAGTGGTTTGTTTAGGTTCACACCAGGACAAAGGTCATTTTAAGATAAAAGGCAGTTCTTTGACTTGGCGGCACACTTTGCTGTATCATTGACTGTATTGTTTAAGACCGAATTTGACGGCAGGTAATTTTACACGTAAAGTAAAGTAACCAAAGCTATATACTTCTGTCATGTTCAAGAAGTGCACCCCTTTTGTTATGTTAAATGCGGGAGAATTAGACAAACTCATCCTGCTGTGTTTTCAAGACAGATCAATGTCATAAACTGTACAGGTGTAAGCAACAGCGAAGCATCTGCATCAGCTGTTCCATATTGAAAGTTCTTTACAGTATTAGTTTTATAGTGATCCTGGACTTTCTTGTTGAGAGATTCCCGTAGGAGACAAGCTTGAAAAGGAGCTTCCTGTGTTTTGCAGAGCTGCTAGGAGAAACCGTTGATGTGCAGCAGTATGTTAGAATAGGCCGTTAAAGCCCGTTGCCTGCTGTGATTAAAGACAAGGCTCTGAAAGGGTTAAGGAGAGAAATGAAACTGTCGGATGTGAAGATACTGCAGGGCTGCTTAGGCTGTCAGTGAGAGTCTGGTTGGATGGGCTGGAAACACAGGAGAAGGCTGCCGTTGCTGTGAGGACCAGTGGGCTCACTGTGATAGTGTTCACCCGGCACGCAGGCTGACTCATAGCTGTCTGATCATGAAAGGGAAATCCCCATCCATGTGGCTAAACCACAGCAAGAGGATCGCAGAGACTCAGGTGCTCTCTGCTCCTCACCAGCTCCTGACTGTCTCTCTCTGACAATTGTGTGGCAGCCGTTAACAGATTTGAATCAATTTACACAGGGCTGTGGATTGGTTTCCTTTTTTTGTATGCACTCTTTAGTCCTTTGTACTTCTGCAAAACCCCCATAGACGTTAAAATGATGAACAAGTTCCTTTATACACTCCAGGGGAGAGGAATGGAAGAACAGGCTGCAGTGGGGGGTTTCAAATCAGGGGAAATGCAGATGATATTTTCTGATCTGCTATAGGAGCACATTTCTAACTTTACACATCAGGTACTCGCAGAGGCTGTTTTATTTCTGGTGTTAAGCTGTGTGTACTTAGTCACTCCCATAATTCACTATGCAATCAATACCCCCTCTTGCTGTTTAAATAAACAGTCCTCTTGCAGGTGCATTGAATCTGACTGCCCTTGTCTATTCATTGACATGCAGCCCAGCCTTGCGGCCCTACAGGAACAACCTCATTGTAGACAAGGCTGCAGCATTCAGTGTTTCAGTCTGTTTTGGATTAAAATTTTGGTCACATATTTTTTACTGTCCGGCATTTGTAGCTTCATTTTGTTTTTGTTGAAACCTGACTTTGAGCACCAGCGTGGATTTCCAGTTAAGCATCTGAGAAAGCTGGACATTGTTCTCGAGATGCAGTGCTTTTCCCTGCTGGTGAATTCCCTACAATAAGACATCAATTTCAGACAGTAATAAGGCCGTTGTGTCTGTTTTACATGAAGTTGTGCATGGAATCACATGTGTGTTAACACAGATACACGACCCCCCACATTTTCAGATTTGTTTGTATAAATGTATCATTTGAGAACAAGGACACTACAGATAAGCATCAACCCTACAGGAATAAAATTAATGTATGCATTGAGCTTGTATAATTCAACACCCTTTGATATTAATAGGCAACAGTCATGTCATTCATAAATAAAATGATTTAATTTTAATAACTATAGTTTACAGATGTAGTGATGGGTAGAATTACAAGAAATAAAACTGGAGAATCTAAAGTCAGTTTATTTATGGCTGAATTTGAACCCTTGGACTGACCAGCTCCACCTGTTGTGTACAGTCTAGACACCACAGCACTTTACAATTCAGAGGCAGTTTGCTCGTGATTTCAGGTTCGAGTTCAAAAGTACTGCCTTCTTTTTACAGGGCATGTGTTATGTGTTTTGCATCTTTTGCTATTGATATGTTGAAATCTCCATGAAGAAATGAGTCAGTAAAATTAACGCTGACAAAACACTTTCTAATCATTTCAAGATAAATATACATTCTTGGCTTGTCTGATCTTTTCTTTTCCATTAATGGTTTTGGTTTGGTCATCTTAGCTTTTCATTCAGGCACTAGTAAGCTTTGTAGTCTTATATTTTTTATGTATAATATTTTTGTTTTCGATTTTTTGAGGTAGTGATTGCTTGGCAAACTCACAGGCTTGGCTCACTACTATAGTCCCTACTCATTGATATATATATATAATTACAAAGCTGCAGGTAGACTGCAGAATTCCTAGTATCAATTGATTTTTTTCCCCCCTCTCTCACTGTCATAGTGATGGTATTGGTTGTAAATTGTTAGGGCATCAAAGTGTACCACCAAAAATCAAGACTTTCTCCAAATGGCTATTGAAGTGTTACACACAGATTCCTGCTACTCCGGGAATAGGATAAACCAGGATGCCAGTGTGGTATGGAGGGCTACAGCATAATGGCGTGCTTTTTTTTCTTTATATCTGTGAATAGTTCTTAGCATATGGTGGAGATTCTTTAGGAAAAAGAATGAAGTCCTTGTAGTCCTCGAATGACATGATTGTAGCTGTATATGAACACACCTGCATTAAACAGTCTGCTGGTTCCTAGTCTCTTGGGATTCTTTTAGACAGGATAACCTCTTGGGTAGCAGACACTGAGGTTTTTTTTTTGTTCTGTTCCGTGATGGTAGAGTTGCATATAGCATTTGAAGAAAGCAGACAGCACATGGGTAATGTCAATGAGGTGTTAAATCCAAGCAAACAAGATCCTTTCCAGACCGATAAAGACCAAGAAAACCACCCTGGTCACTGCCTGCCCTGGGGGATGTGTGGGATGTGGTTACTAACTGTTTCAAACACATTTGGATGCTTTCCAGGGACTTCGTTACTTAGTTTTTTTTTTGTTTGGTACATCCCAAGTAGCCTTCTTTATTCTCCCATCATTCACCACAGAATCGAAAAAGGACTATGCGAAATAATTGACTTAGCTTTCTATTTTGCATTACCAAAAAAATAGTGCAGGTAAGAAGGCCCTCTAGATGAATGGCTTGCTTTGCATTTCTTCCTCTAACGAGGTAATAAAAGTATAATTAATGGCATGATAGGCCTTATGTAATAGGAAGGAATGTTATGCAGAGGAATAATGTAAATTATATTTAAATCATTCATTTTAAACACAGGGTCATAACACCTTAAGTATGGAGTCAGCTTTCAGCTTTTCAGAGAACATTTCCTATTCATTCATATTGGCATCTGAACCTTGTTAATCAGATGAGTTTAGCAGACTGCAAGTTAAGTCTCTTAAAAACACTGCTCAAGTCATTCCTTAGAGCTCATCATTGCACAACAGAACTGTTTAGCAATGTATTCAATTCTATGCATTTCCCTGTCTGGAAACAGGAAATTGGAGCTGAGCTGGTTTAGAGGTTGAGAAACTAGTGGAAAATAAAGTGCTTTTACTTCCTGTTTCTCTCTGTTCCAAGAGTGGTTCACTATAAAAGAAAATACTAGTGAGGCAGGTTACGTTTTTCAGTATTTATTCTAGGAAGGCAATCACCTTTGTGACTCATTGCTTTATCAGAGACAGAAAACAAGTTAGCTCCAGGTGCATATTTACTTAGGGTGAAGTCTAATGCTTTCATTCTGAATTTCTCCAAGTACCATTGTTTCAACCTATATTTTTCCTCTAGGCATTTGTTGCCACTCCCTTCAATCAATTCTGTCCCTTCAGGTTAATTTTTACCTGCCAGATATATTTTCTGCTAATATTGAGCACTGTATATCCACATGCATAAAATTGGTGCCCCATGCTGTCTTCACTTTGCGCGCTGGTCTCAAGCACATTCAACAAATTCTCGTGTGCAGTGATGATTTATAGTGTGCTCAGTTATGCTCCAGGGCATTTACGGGCTCAATCTGAGAGTAATGTGTCCCGTAATGTGGGATACGACAGCAGACTTCCAGCCTCACAGTGTGATTCAAGCTGAGGTGGCAAGGTTACTGCGTCCTCATCTCAACTGGTCAGATGTGAAAGTGTTTCCTGGCGTTATGTGTCTCCTGAAGCTGTTTACACCCTGATCTTTTGTCTCAAGTGAATTATTCATTGTTGTCATTTATGCTTGATTAATCAAGAGTAATAGCCTTTCAAAGAACCTCCTGGAAAGCAGCAATATCTAAGACACTAGTTTACTACTTGTTGGAAAGCAAAGTGAGATTTTAGTGGTAAACCAATGAAGAAAACTCAATCGCAATACCTGCAGGTACTCTTTATTTGATGAAAAGCTTGATAACATCCATTTGTCTGACTGCCCTTCCTTCTCAGGAGTATTAAATGCATTGTTGATTCACCTACATCTTTAGGTTCTCTTGTAAGGGCCAGGACAAGGTGGCGTGTCGGATAGCATAGTGAGGTGGGGTGGCTAGGGTCAGCTAGTTAAAATGATGAGGACATTGGCATAATGGAATCATAAATGAGCCCCAGGTGTTGATGAAGGTCAGTGAGTGCAGTGGATTGTGAAGCATATGTCATGCTGAAAATAGTACCGACTTCAAATAATCACCTTGGAACCAGTCTTACTGTGCTGTTGATTATATGAACTCTCTTTCAGTTTTCTTGCTTTCATTTTCTTGCTCTCAAAAGTGTTCATTTATTCATTAGCATCTGTCTTAATAAAGTGTATATTGCTGAGGCGTAAAGTCTATATGCTTTTTGGTTAACAAGCAAAACCTTGAAACTAACAGGATTTTTGCTTTTTGACTGAATTTGCTTTTATAGTTTTTAACTTATTTAAGTAGTGAGTGTTTGAAGCTTCATCAAGTCTTAAGAAGATGACACCATTAAGGGAGAGGGTGTCTCATGTAGAAGATCTGATTTTTGTTCATTCTGTTTCATGAGTGCAGTATTCTCTGTATGATCCAGAATGAGGCAGCCGATTCGAAAAGGAATAAGACATGACGAGATGATTTCCTGTCTTCCTCTCGCAGGGCAACCACTCCTCTGGTGAGGACATGGAGATCTCCGACGACGAGATGCCCGGCACGCCCATCACCAGCTCCGAGTGCGTTGTGGTCAACTCCTCGGTCTCCTCCTCCGTCATGCCGCAGGCCATTCCCATCCCTCCCCCTGGCTTCCCCCCCCCCCCCCCCGCCCCGGCTCCCCCCCCCCCCCCCCAGCCTGGCTTCCCACTGCCGCCCCCACCCCTGCCCCCGCCCCCCGCACATCCTGCCGTCCCGGGCCCCCACCCCCCGCTGCCCGGGCCCCCAGGCGTCCCACCCCACCCCATGCTCCACACACTGCACCACTACCCCCCGAACATGATCCCCATGATGCCCATGGACCTGATGACCTGCCTGCCCCAGTGGGGCAGCATGCAGATGTCCTTCCAAATGCAGACCCAGATGCTGAGCCGGATGATGCAGGGCCAGCGGGCGTACCCCTACCCTCCTTTCATGGGCGGCGGAGGCGGGGGTGGGATGCAGTTTGGGAACCCCTATCGCCCCTTTACCATAGGCGGCGGGCCGGCTGCCAATGTGACCCATGGGTACCCCTGGCCTCCGCTGCCTAAATTCAACCCCTCGGTGCCCCCTCCTGGGTACGAGCCCAAAAAGGAGGACCCCCACAAGGCCACAGTGGACGGCGTGCTGATGGTCATCGTCAAGGAGCTGAAGTCCATCATGAAGCGGGACCTTAACCGCAAGATGGTGGAGGTGGTGGCCTTCAGGGCCTTCGATGAGTGGTGGGAGAAGAAGGAGCGGTCAGCCAAGGTGGGTTTTCCGGCCAAAAGCATTGCTTGCTCCTGTTTTCTGTTTAAACAGGTAGCGTCTGAGGAGCATCACGTGTGAAACTGGTGTTCCTGGTGAAGGTAAAGGCAAGGGTAGGGTGGTTGAAGAGCAGTTCGGAAAATAGTAACATCTCATCTCTCAAGGTCTGGCTGTAGACGCAGAGAGTGTCAGAGCCCTTTTGATCCACAGGAGAATATTCTGCCATTTTTCTTGGAAGTTATTTGAAGTGTGAAAAAAGGATGTTGAAAAGAGAACTATGCCTGTGCTTACAGCAATTTTTGCTTTTTCAGTTACACATACTGTTGGAAAAAGCAGTTGTGGTCAATTTGATATTGTAATAAGTGGAACAGATTTTGCACTGGATCAAACACCCCTGAAAGTCTCCAGTATTTTCACTGCAGACTGGCCTTTGTCAAAGGTCACTGTAAGAAATGCAGGTAGCAGTGTGGCCTGGACCGACAGGGAGGATTTAATAAAGGAGGTTAAGTAAGCTTCTGATTGTTCAGGTAACCCCAGGAGAATAGACTTTCTTCACTCACTGTTGAAATCTGCTTGGAATGTGTTTCCCTTTTTGTCCAAATATTCCTTTCCATTGTATTACTGCATTTCATTATAAAAACAGATACTGAAATGATTTTGGTGCTGACATTACCTATGTTGGAAATCTACATCTGTTTTCAGAACAAATTGCAAAAGCTGTTTTAGTTGTGTATTACAGCAGCCTGCCTGATTTAAACAGAGGCACAC